AGTGCTGGACATAACGCACGGCAATAACTGTCATAATAAATTGGGCAATTAACTCAAATTTGTTAGGTAACTAGAATTGTAAGAATGCTTGGGGCATGTGGGAAGCGCATTGGTGCATTAAATTTGAGCTATATGACGTGTTGGACATAACGCACGGCAATAACTGTCATAGTAAATTGGGAAATTAACTCAAATTTGTTAGGTAACTAGAATTGTAAGAATGCTTGGGGCATGTGGGAAGCGCATTGGTGCATTAAATTTGAGCTATATGACGTGTTGGACATAATGCACGGCAATAACTGTCATAATAAATTGGGCAATTAACTCCAATTTGTTAGGTAACTAGAACTGTAAGAACGCTTGGGGCATGTGGGAAGCGCATTGGTGCATTAAATTTGAGCTATATGAAGTGCTGGACATAACGCACGGCAATAACTGTCATAATAAATTGGGCAATTAACTCAAATTTGTTAGGTAACTAGAATTGTAAGAATGCTTGGGGCATGTGGGAAGCGCATTGGTGCATTAAATTTGAGCTATATGACGTGTTGGACATAATGCACGGCAATAACTGTCATAATAAATTGGGCAATTAACTCCAATTTGTTAGGTAACTAGAACTGTAAGAACGCTTGGGGCATGTGGGAAGCGCATTGGTGCATTAAATTTGAGCTATATGAAGTGCTGGACATAACGCACGGCAATAACTGTCATAATAAATTGGGCAATTAACTCAAATTTGTTAGGTAACTAGAATTGTAAGAATGCTTGGGGCATGTGGGAAGCGCATTGTTGCTTTAAATTTGAGCTATATGACGTGTTGGACATAATGCACGGCAATAACTGTCATAATAAATTGGGCAATTAACTCCAATTTGTTAGGTAACTAGAATTGTAAGAACGCTTGGGGCATGTGGGAAGCGCATTGGTGCATTAAATTTGAGCTATATGACGTGTTGGACATAACGCACGGCAATAACTGTCATAGTAAATTGGGAAATTAACTCAAATTTGTTAGGTAACTAGAATTGTAAGAATGCTTGGGGCATGTGGGAAGCGCATTGGTGCATTAAATTTGAGCTATATGACGTGTTGGACATAACGCACGGCAATAACTGTCATAATAAATTGGGCAATTAACTCAAATTTGTTAGGTAACTAGAATTGTAAGAACGCTTGGGGCATGTGGGAAGCGCATTGGTGCATTAAATTTGAGCTATATGACGTGTTGGACATAACGCACGGCAATAACTGTCATAGTAAATTGGGCAATTAACTCAAATTTGTTAGGTAACTAGAATTGTAAGAATGCTTGGAGCATGTGGGAAGCGCATTGGTGCATTAAATTTGAGCTATATGACGTGTTGGACATAACGCACGGCAATAACTGTCATAATAAATTGGGCAATTAACTCAAATTTGTTAGGTAACTAGAATTGTAAGAACGCTTGGGGCATGTGGGAAGCGCATTGGTGCATTAAATTTGAGCTTTATGATGTGTTAGACATAATGCACGGCAATAACTGTCATAATAAATTGGGCAATTAACTCAAATTTGTTAGGTAACTAGAATTGTAAGAACGCTTAAGGCATGTGGGAAGCGCATTGGTGCATTAAATTTGAGCTATATGATGTGTTGGACATAATGCACGGCAATAACTGTCATAATAAATTGGGCAATTAACTCAAATTTGTTAGGTAACTAGAATTGTAAGAACGCTTGGGGCATGTGGGAAGCGCATTGGTGCATTAAATTTGAGCTTTATGATGTGTTAGACATAATGCACGGCAATAACTGTCATAATAAATTGGGCAATTAACTCAAATTTGTTAGGTAACTAGAATTGTAAGAATGCTTGGGGCATGTGGGAAGCGCATTGGTGCATTAAATTTGAGCTATATGATGTGTTGGACATAATGCACGGCAATAACTGTCATAATAAATTGGGCAATTAACTCCAATTTGTTAGGTAACTAGAATTGTAAGAACGCTTGGGGCATGTGGGAAGCGCATTGGTGCATTAAATTTGAGCTATATGACGTGTTGGACATAACGCACGGCAATAACTGTCATAATAAATTGGGAAATTAACTCAAATTTGTTAGGTAACTAGAATTGTAAGAACGCTTGGGGCATGTGGGAAGCGCATTGGTGCATTAAATTTGAGGTATATGACGTGTTGGACATAATGCACGGCAATAACTGTCATAATAAATTGGGCAATTAACTCAAATTTGTTAGGTAACTAGAATTGTAAGAACGCTTGGGGCATGTGGGAAGCGCATTGGTGCATTAAATTTGAGGTATATGACGTGTTGGACATAATGCACGGCAATAACTGTCATAATAAATTGGGCAATTAACTCAAATTTGTTAGGTAACTAGAATTGTAAGAACGCTTGGGGCATGTGGGAAGCGCATTGGTGCATAAAATTTGAGCTATATGACGTGCTGGACATAATGCACGGCAATAACTGTCATAATAAATTGGGCAATTAACTCAAATTTGTTAGGTAACTAGAATCGTAAGAACGCTTGGGGCATGTGGGAAACGCATTGGTGCATTAAATTTATCACTCGTGCAAAGGGCACAATGCAGGCAGTGCGAAAACAAGTATGATAAGACAAAAAAAATGTGCAGCACATTTTCGCATTACCAGCACTGCACCTGTTGCACAAGTGTTAACTTCAGCGCACCACCGCGATTCCCACACACGGTGGTGCGCTAAAATTTATTGATTTATTGGTTTTCGACGAAGCTCAGCAAGTTTTTCATTGGAACCATTGCTTTATTTCCGATAACTAGAAAGATAATTTACAAATCTTTTGTTATTTAGCTGACTTATTGTGACGATTATCCCTATATTATGTCACCCAGGCCAGATAACCCACCTGCAGAGACTGCAGTAGTGTCGTTCTCGCTGAATTTTAAAACAAATCTGTAAAGCCTAAATAAAAACACCCTGTATTGATGCATGCATGTATGATATCATCAGAAGGAGATACTTCTCTCTATGCGTCGTTTGCAGTGCTGCGAGGAAGCGACACCAACAACACAGCCATTGGGGGTGTCGCTTCACTGCAGTGCAGCTGTGTCAAGGGAGAAGCAAACTTAACAGAGCTACCCAGTTTTCCCTAACCATTTAACTAGGCCCTATAAAAAATACAAATCCATAGAGGTTGCCAATATTTTCCCCAGTTAGGACCAGAAGCTTGCTAAGAAAAGATTATGTATTGACATGGTCTCACGCTATCTTTTAAATATTCGCCTATGATAAGACAAACCAAGCAACCCCTATCTTCAACACAATAACACTGACCTTATTCTATGAAGCATAGCTCCAGCAGCTCTACATAAAACAGCTGTTGAAACATTGCGCTGTCAACAAAACGCTGGTTGAAAGCAGACCACTGATGCCAAAAACGTAACTAGAAAACAAGGGGACACCCTTGCAGAATGACACGACACATGCTCCAGACTGCTAAACTGTGACCGACACAAAGGTGAACATGGCATCTTCTCTCATGGTGCTGACAGTGCCTGAAAAGTGTGGCTGAACTGCTATTTCTAGGCACAGCTGAACACATGCTGATACTGAACTTGTCATTTTTTAATTCAGAAGCTGCTGGACAGCATGGTCAGAAAGGAACACGACAGCCTGACAGCATATTCACTTTGCGCATCAGTCTTAGCTCTACACTGTACGACACGGTTAGCACTAACAAAACATAGAAGCTTTTCTGCATTTTGATCAGACGAAATATTGACGGGCACAAAATTTTGTCACTTAGATTAGTGCGTCGAATTAACACTTTCTCTTACACTAGCAGTTGTTATGACAGCCTTTCAATTCTATTAAAAAATACGAAAAACTGGCAGCTTCTCGTTCGTGCTAACCCTGTAGTGCTTTGTACAGTACAGTTGTGATCCACACGAAGGTGAACACGTGATCGTCGACTGCTCTGGACTGTTAGCGTCGCGGTGTGGCGGCTGTGGCAGTATGTGCACTTAGCAAACCAAGTGTGGCGAGGTGCAAGATAAGGCATGCAAGTCATTGCAGTTGCCGCTTCGTGGCACTGTTGGTACGGAGCGGTCGACGATTGCACGTTCACCTTCGTATGAATCGCAGCTGCACGAGTGAAGGCATGAAGGTGAAGCGATGTTTCGAAGGCGACGAGAAACGATGGGGGGGGGGGGGCACTTGGAGTCAAACAAAAGAAACGGGGTGGTTGAAATCGGGGCGAAAACGGGGGGGGGGAAAGGCTGCAGCCATACTACACGTAAAGCAAGACGCCGGCTTTGTTGCTCGGAACTTCTGAGGCGGGGTAGCGTCGTACCCCAAGCTGTTTTGTGCATCGACATAAAATGAAGGTAGGGACACCGTTCCTAAACAGAAGGTTTCTTTCGAGAATGCAACGCCTTTAGCTCACATCTGGGAAACACCTAGACGGAGAAGCGTTTACACTGTATACGAGAGTGCCAGAAAGCACTCTCGCATACAACTAACGAGTGGCCAGGAGCTTCCGAGCACCGACCGAAATTAACCGCTGGATACTTCGAGGCAATCTCCCGAGATTTCCCGTCCACGATCGTCCCCCGGAAAATTTATATATCTGCGTTCCTTTCTTTACCAAAGGCCAATCCAACAATCAACTTTCGTGCGGGACCAATTGTTGTTGTTTTCTTTTCCCTAAACTTGTTTCCAAACAAACATTCGCGAAAATATTTTTGATACAACAAAAACCCACATGCCAATGATCGTCTTAGTTTTTATGATGAAAACTACATTAAAACAAGGTGAAAAACGGTGGCAAGCACTACAAAAAGCAGGAAACAGAAGCATACAATGATTTGTGACTTCCTCATTTTTTTTTTTCTTTTCTGCTTGACAATGCAGATGTAGATGAAGGAACACAGCACACTGAGCAGGCCACAATGACTTTTTCCGCTGCTCAGAGAGGAGAAGACGAAGGGCGGGTGAATGCCTGGGAGCCTTACCTCTGGCTTCTTGAAATCATGATAATTTTTATTGTAACCCTGGATCTAAAGAGGAGAAAAAAAAAATAATAGTAGAAGGGGGCAACGAACAGAGCCAAGAGACGACACGCATGACGAACTGCCGCGGCGGATCGACAACTGGTGCGCAACGCAGAACTGTCGCTGTCAGAACTGGGGAACTGAACAGACGACGAACGGCCGCAAGCGCTTTTTGCATTTTCTCCGCTCTTTTTGGTTCACTGCGAACCCGGAACGTTTGGCGCACGGTGGCACACACAGTTTGCATGCTTTTGTGCGAAACACGGGGGGAGAGGCACTTTCGACCGGGACTCTGCATGCTAGCTAGAGTGCATGCTCCGGTTGAGAGGATGTGCTCTATCTCGCGAGTCTGCGCTACCTGTTGCCGCCAAAGGCAATCGGGGATGGGAGCAGATAAAAGAGAGGCCTCGGCTGCCAGCTTTTAAAATGATGCTACAATAAATTTTAAAAAAAATATGTTTCGAGGTGGTGAGTCCTGGCAAGATAACTACAAATGATGCACCAGCCTAGTCTGCCTCGCTCCTTTGCACCACCCCGTGCCCGTTTTTAAAAGCAAAAAAAGGAGGAGAGTCGTAACCAAGAATGTTGCCACACTCGAACACTACGATGGAACACATAAATGAGGTGCCGTGGCACAAGTCGCTCCGAGCTTCACTGTGGCCCATGCAGGTACCTCAATGTAGAGAGCCTGTTGGAGGTTGCACCCGCAAAGCTTGCAACCTTGACAATTACCGAGCCCCCAAGATTAAACTCTGACAGCACTCGCATGCCTCCAAAAGCTACAAGGTGCAGGCCTAAGTACAAGAATTATCCTTTCAAGTTCATGCGTCGAACTCTGGCAAGATTCTTTCTCGATTTCAAGGGCGCAATTATGATGTAACTGTCGTTTTTAAACTTCAGACAGCACAAAATTGCCTTGGGCTGAGGTGGGTCTTGCATCCCCTGAGGCAGTAACTGTTCTTTTTATAAGTTTCAGTATGTAAATTTAAAAAAGAAAGAGTTTCGAGAGTTTACCAGGATCTGCCTAGCATTGTGCAACAATCATAAAAAAATGCTAATGGCAAAAAAAAAAAAAAAAACTCTTTTTTAAATTAGTATTTGTTTTTCAAGATGTTAAATTAACATCCCTCCAAAACAAGTGCCTGCACTATTGCCAGAGCAAGAAAGCATATAGCAAAAAAAGACTATGTAGCTGCTTCTGTTTATGAAATTTGCAACTCTCTTGGCATACAGTCTTAGTCTTAATCATTCTTTGTGGTTACTAGGCAACTTTATTTTTGTGCAATGCAATGCTGCCCTAACAGTTTCCTCTAAACTTTCACACAAAATTGGTGTAAGTAAGTAGGATGTTGGCTTTTTTTAGAGCGCAGCTCTTAGGCGCCTGTTTCCGGGTTTCGAAACGTCGCCACTGCCGTCGGCATTGGTGTAACTGTGCTAGATTTAGCAGGAAAATTGATTTCCCGTTGACCTAAACGCAAATTCAATTCCCCGCTAAATTAAGCGAGGAAATTCTGCTTCTCCGTTAGATTTAGCGGACAAAATCAGTGTCTACGCTAGGTATAGCGGAGAAATTCAGTTTCTCCGCTAAACTTAGCGGGAAACCCGACGTCACGTGACCTCCAACACCAATTCAATTCCCCCTAGCGGGGAATAGAATTGGTGTTGAGGTCATGTGACGTCAATTTTGCCACTTAATTTAGCGGGGAAACTGAATTGGTGTTGAGGTCACAATCTTTCAGCTAGATTTAGTGGGGAAACTGCGGGAGGAGCGACGGTATGGAGGAGGAGGAGGGACATACCCTCCCATCCTCCTCCTCAACAGCTGCACTCTAATTTCACATTACAGATTTCTAAACGTCTTTCTTTCTATTTTTTTAGATAAGCTTTTTATTTTTTGGTTTTTACAGTTCGTTTTATTCAGGTATCTGCATTAGTTATTCTGTCTTTATTTCCTTCAGCATCTCACAGAATGCCTGAGCACGAACTGCTAGCTATCGAAAAGATCTGACTGTTTGCGTGAGCGTGTTCACATGGCGAGAGCACTTGGGGCAATTCATTATATTGGGCTACACAAATCAGTTGCATACCACACTGAGTGTGTTGTTATTTTCCACAAAGACTAATCAGTTGGAGGATGTGTATTCTAAGATTATCAATGTGCTTGGGCCCCTGGATGAGAAGTAAAGAAAAAAAGAGTTACTCCAGTGCCTCAGTTTCGCAAAACAAAATGCTGAGTAGGATAACTAGCTACAGAAACATGATGATTATTCCCAATTATTTACTCGTGCAATTCCTAACATTGAAGCTTTATGTCCATCAATTAACTGCATCTCTATGTGAAAAAAAAGAAAATAATACACAGCAAAAAGACGACCCGAAGTACCTATGCACAAATTATGAAAACCAAATGAAAGATTCTCAAGTTGCCGAAATCCTGAACAATACTGAAGGTCCGATCAACTGCAACTGCACTACCATACAATTTAAAAATATGCTAAAGGCACTTTTGGTAGGCAGTGACATTGCTATCTTAACTTTATTACTTATTTCGCACGAGTCACATTTGTGTTCAACAGTTCCGTTTACACATGTTAATTTTTTTTCCCTCAAATTCTTTGACTATATATTTCTTCTATTTTACTGCATGGTTGTTGCACTACCACTTTTCGTTTCCTGGTACAGTATAGACCACTTACAACGTAGCCGCTTATAGTGCAGGACCAGGTATAACGCGGCTTTTTTAAACCACCAGTTCGCCTCCCATAGAACTCCATGTAATTGCATACCACTTAAAATGCAGGCGCGCGAAGGGAAATACCGGTTATAGTGCGGTTTCTGGAGCAGCCCGCCGACCCCGCCGACTGACCTGCGCAGCGAGCACGCTTCCCTGTGCGGCATTCGCAGGGCAAGGAGGTTGCTCGAAGAAGCGGGGAGAAGCGAAGAGAGAGGCTTCAGTTGCCATAGCAACGGAGGGACGCACGCATGTGTCGTTCACGTGCGTGCTGTGCGTCCCTCCGCTGCATTGGAAAGATTGGAAACAACCACAACGACAGACCAATCGCAGGTCGAGGAGAAGTGTTCGCGCGCGTTGCATGCCGGTCAAGGGCCGGCTGCTTCTATCCGCAAACATGGCGTCGGTTGTGAATTTTGTGATCGTCGACGTAGACGGCGTGGTGGACGCTCATCGTTCCCCGTAAAAGCACTATCCTTGACTCTGAATTTTCGTTCTGTGTCGCTATGATGACCCAGCACATACTAGAAGGAAAGATCCACCTATTCGTGCGGCGATGTCGGCAGCACTCTCAAGACGGCAGAAACGCCCGTGTCATCGTGTTTGTTTACTTCGACTACAGTGGTGCTTTCTAAGCATTTGTGTTTTCGAACATCGCCCGGATTTCTTATTTGGAGCATTTCATGCCTGTGCTCAAGTTGAAGGTATTACTGGCGCGTACCGTATGAAGGATGCGAATTTTCACGCGCTTTCATTGCCAGAGAAAAGTGATTAGGGTTAGCAATCCTGAATGCTCGCAACGTCCGTCCGCAACCCGCGACGCCGTTAAAAGGCTGCGCCAGGCGAAAGTCGCTCATTTCTTTCAAAATGTGTGACACACTTGAGAGAGAAGTGTACTAGTCTGGTGAAGTAAAGACTTTCCTCAAACTAAGCTTTGTTTTTCATCTAACATAAAATAAATTCTTTAACAAAGGTCAGTTGTCTGATGGCATGTATTTTGGCCTAAAAAATTGATGTTTTGGTTATAGCGCGGTACCGCTTATAGTGCGGATTTTCGCGACTCCCGTGACATACGTTATATGCGGTCTACACTGTACGTGAGATTTCTCTTTTTGCTAAAACCAATATAGACTGTAAAGGAGGCATCAGGCATACATCACACTTTTAGCCTCTGCCCACTTCCAGTCCATTGGGAAACAAATAAAAGAAAAGAAAGAAAACTACAACACACCCAGTGATGTAACCGATAGTACTAAAACATGCAGCACGATAAATTGATGGTGCAACATAATGAATCATCCGGTACTCTGTTTCAATTAAATCATAGTAGCAGAACCAAGGACACAGATAAGGGCTCCAATAACCCAGAACCATTTTGAGGCAAGGCACTCGCACTATAGGAAACTACGACGCGTTGCTGCCAGCTTTTGGAGAATCACTAGCGAGGTACACTTTGCTGGGCAAGCGAGGCCTTCCTTCAGCGGCCAAACGGTTGAGAGACGCCCGTCCCTCTTCCTCTGCGCGAAAGTAGAGAACTCGAATCCACGAGGCAGGCAAAGAGGAAAGCACGCAGAAACCGAGCAAACGACATTACAGCGTCGGGCAAGCGACGACGAGTTGCGGCACCTAGAACCCGTTCTTGGCAAACCCGAAGCTTCGCCGACGTGCACCGAAAAGAGGAACAACCCTGGCAGTCGCGGACCCCCTTCCCGTCCTGGCATTCCATAAAACGACCCGAGCAGACTCGCGTGCAAACGGGGCACATGCACGCGCACGAGAGGGGGCAGGGGTGGGGGGGAAATCGCCGCAGCTTACCTGGTTGCCCGCCGTCGTGGTGGGCGGCGGCGGTGCCATGCGCACCCGCTTGGCACTGGGGCCGTGGTTGTTGTTATCCTGGTTGCCACCCTGGTTGTTGGCGGCCGCCGTCTGCAGAGAGGCAGGGAAGGAACGCATCACTAAAACGATAACGGCGACGCTCGAAGCACAGCGGCTTCGTTGGCGATTGCTGTGAAAGTTCTATGGTCGGGGAAAGCGCGGAAGTCGTGCCATAAAACCCTTAGTTTTTGCAGCCCTAATTCGTCGCGAGCAAAGCCGCTCTAGAGGGCGCCGCCCAAGTGGCTTCGTGTGTGACCGAAATCGGGCTGTTTTTTTTCTGTACAAGAGTTTACGCACTTTGTAAGTGCTAGACGACTCCTACCAAACATAATGGAGACTACACTGATGGCTAATGGAGGTGTGTAACACTTTTGTTTAATAAATAGCACTGAACAAAAACATCAAAGGTCTTCATTCGACCCACTCTTATAAAAGTTGGCAGTACTCAAGATATCCCAGATTCCAAAACTCTTGTTTCGCCAATTCCGCGAAGCAAAAGGGCAGCCACTCACCTTGCTGGCGTCGGACTTGTCCTCCTGCTCCTCGTCTGTCAGGAAGTCCCTCTTGGGGTAGGGGATGGGCACGCCGGCAAACACGCTGCAGGCACGGAGCAGCAAAGGCCTCAGTGTTTTTAAGTGGCACCAATCATTTCTACTACATGCAAATACTGCTTTTACTAACAAATGCAGCCTAACTTCCATAAATACTGTTAGTTCAATTATTTCTTTGTGTCAGATGTACGGACACAGGTAATTCTATTGGGCAATGGTGTTCTTTTACAAACAAGGTTTGTGTTTCATCTACAAGGTCCCAAAAGTGTTACTGGTTCTCACACATTTGTAAACGGCACGTTTTTTTTCCTAGGGTCCCCTGAAAAACATATCAAAGAAGTTCTACTTTTGTCTCATCCTTCTTTTTTAAGCTTGTAAAGGTGGTGGAAACATATGAAATGCTAAAATATAGATAATTATAGACATATTTCTTTTATATGAAATTTGGCATACTTCAGAAATGTGTTGTACCAAGTTTAACTCAAATTGTGTTGGGAGTCCCAAAAGGCTATCAAGATTTAGAATTACTGATAAACAACAAATAAACAAAATTATAAAAGTTTTTTTTTTTCTTCTTTATAGGATGCAAACAACACAGTTTCTAAGTACTACACTCAGGAAGTGCACATTTATACAACGAATTCAGTTTCATATCCAGGCTGTTTGCAAACATGTTCTGAAAAGCTTTTCTGTTTTCTCAGAATTAATTTTTTCATCACAACACAAAGTTTTGCCCTGGTACCTTTTGATCTAGAATTTGAATCGGAATACTTTTTTCGGGGTTTAATACCTCATAAATCAGAAAGGGCAATGAGACTAATATATCCAGAAAATGTGAACTACAAATTTTTCTAATTGGCAGGGACTTTAATAACTAATTTCTAATCATCAGTGGAAAAATGTCAACTTATGACGATTTTCTTTACAATGATGCTAAAATTATAAGAATGGTTTTGCTGTACTCTACTGTTTGCAGAACATGCCGGCATACTTCGCGCCACATCTTTTGTTATTTTAGAAAAGTTGGGCAGAAACATTTGTGATGGTGTTTAGACTTTCTTAAAAACTATAATAGATAGGAAAACAATGAGCTTACATGTTAATGCTTTGCATAAAAAATTATGAACGTGAGAATGTAATATAAATTAGGCGAGAAATGAAAAAAAAAAAAAATGTTCAAGACCAGGGTCTCCCCTGAAATGAAACAAAAGCCCCTTATTTTTCTGCGTCCCCCAAAGAGATACAAGACAACTGACAAAGACGTGGCATGGACTGTTTCTTATGGCGCCTGTCTCTGCAAGGGCAATTTTTTTCGGTAAAGAGCTCCAGGTGGACGTCTGTTTGGCAATGCCGCAGGGGCCCCCCTAGATGCAAGGGGCTCACTCCTGGGTGGGGACAGGGTCCTCCAAGAAGTAGGGGTCCTGCATGGCCTGCTCCGACGTGATCCGCTTGGTGGGGTCCATCAGCAGCAGCTTCTGGAGCTGCACCGTCAAAGGGCTCAGCGTCAAAGACTTTCCATCGCACATACCCGATGGAATCTCAACTGCCCTCTGCAAATCCAATTCCAACGAGGAGATATGGGTAGAAACTCCTCCACGACGACATCCTGTCCACAGTCGACTTTCATTAATTCAACCTTGACGGGACACGCGAGATCGGGTCGAATTATCCGAAAGTGGAATTAGAGTATGAAATTCTGAATATCCGGCGGGATAACGTTTCTATAATGAGCAGCCGCACACCGGCGACAGCAGCCGTGTGTGTTCTTCGCACATTCGGTGACATTCGCACACCGGCAGAGGTGACTGGGAGTCGGCGCCGCCGCAGCCAGTGCCAATGCAACGCTGTTGTGGAGCAGCGCTCGCTCCTCCGCAGCAGTGTTGCAATGGTTGTTTTGGTTGTGTGCACCGGCTCCACCGTCGCCGGCAACTATCGTCACACCTCTGCGGAGCAGCGCTTGCTGCTCCACAGCAGTGTTTGAATTGTTGCTTTGTGTTGAGACCCGAACATGTCCCGTGTCTCAACATCTGCCCTTTTCTTCTCTCTTTGCAATTCGGCATGCGCTTCAAAATTTGAAACTGGGTTTTTTTGCCGCATGCGCAACCGACCACGCTTGTAACTTGCCCACTGCGTAATTCGGAAAAAAAGGTCAGTTTTTGTGCGTCATGCACGGTCAATCGGCTTATAATTTGCCCACCGCCGGTTCTCTTTAGGTTAAATTAACGAATATTTATTTAGAGATCAAAATAATGAGTTTTTTTTAAATAAAGAAATGTATGGGCGTTTGCCAGGACCTTAGAAAAGGGTCGAATTAAAGTGAGTCGAATTAACCGAATTTGAATTAACGCAAGTCATGCCAAAAGAAGAATGTGGCACCGGTGATTTTGAACGCTCTAATATATCTTCTGTAGAGCTTTGCGTGGGCCCAGTCCAGCACGAAAACCCACCAGGGTGCCGGGCCATGTAGAACAATTTTTCTCGGGCTGGGATCAAGCCCAGGCTCCAAAATGCACTTTCTCTCCCCCAGTCGAGGCACCTCCAGCCAGGCCAGGCTGGGGCCGGGCCAGATCGGGTAGGCATCCCATAATGGGGTCGGATAAAACTTAGAATCAATGTGCCCAGGCCAGGTCGGGACTCAAAAGGGAGGTCCGTACAGCGCTCTACCCTCCCACAAACAAGCAGCTCGCGACACAAAAAAATGTAAGTGCCCTTATTTGCTGACATCGGCTTTGCTGACGCAGATGCGCCCTTATGGACTACTCTAAGTGTGGCTTTAAAGTTTGCCACCCAAATCTACAGCGTTTTCCTCAGAAAAAATTTCACTTTTTTTGCCACAAAAATGAACCCAGCATCACCGAATGCTCGGTCTCCGCCCAGAAGTACCGCTAGCGGTCTGGACCAGATCCCATTATTTCGCAACTAACCGCTATCTTATTCAAAAGTTACGCGATTATCTGAAAATTTTAGTAGGAAAATGTAGTTGATGCCATTCAGCTCCATGTATTTGTGTGCCTCGAGGGCCACAACTCTCCCACTGAACACTTCCGAAAATCACTCGTAACTTTTGAATAAGATGACGGCAAGCTCCGACAAACTCAGCATCTCGTCCGGACCACTAGCACTACATTCTAGCAAAGACCGAGCGTTCGGCGATGCATGTAGTTTATTTTTGCGGTGAGAAAATAACTGTACATTTTTGAGGGGGTGCCCCGTAGAATGGGTCTAATTTCGGTACCATCACAACCAGAAAAAGTCAGGACCTCGGTTTCCTCTTTCAATTCAAGTTGTGTTTACACGCTAAGACAGGGGTCTTACTTCTTACTTCGAAACACCCGACCCTCGTACACGTAGTTAGGATTTTAAGAAAATACACGAACGTCACGGTTCCTCTTTCGCCAATCCGAGCGGAACCAACTGTGAACAACACGAGGTTTTACTTGGCATCTCTAAACTCGGAGCTTATCCCTGCCGACGAGCCTCGGTTTCGTCCCTCTGGCTGTCGTCTACGGTCGGTGACGGGATCAGAACAGCAGAGAAGTCCTTCGGTTGCCCCGCGTCCAGCGTGTGCTTTCTGCCTTCGGCAATGCTTCGACGTCTCGTCAGCCTCGAGTGTGCACGCGCGGCCAGAGCACATCGGAAGGCAACGAGCTTGTGCCAGAGGCCGAGCGTCCAAAACGAACGACCCGCTGTTCTCATCCCGTCGGCGACTATGGCGGCGAGAGCGCGGGAAGGGGGAGGGCGGCGCACCAGGAGAAAGGCCTTGCTGTCCGCCTTCACCTTGTGCTTCTCCATGTACTTGACCAGGGAGCAGCTGGCATAGCTGCACGGGCAACAAAACAATGCACAAGCGTCAAATACATGCTCGTCCCGGCACCCGAACTCCGCCCGAAAACTCGACCTGCCTCGGGTCGACCCACCTCGCGCTGTCGCCCTTAATTAAACGGCCAATGGTGGGCAAAAACCGTCGGTAATACGGTTACCGCGGCAATGCCATACTTACCCGATTCTAAAGTGCACCCTTTTTTTTGAAAAAAATTGCGCCTAGAAATTGCTTGTGCATTTGAATCCAATAAGAAATAGAAATCGGGGACATGTTAGGATCCGCATTCTTGAGTATAAAAAACTGGGAGCGCGTTAGGGTTGGGGCACGTTAGAATCGGGTAAATACGGTACCACGAGGCAACGCAGGCACAACGTCGTCAAATCGCCGAGGAACATTTTGCAACGGAAATGCTCCGACAAATATCATATAGCCGAGATTATTTTTCTATGATCTTTCGCGCAAGTAAGCTGGTCTGTCACGGAACTTGCGACCAATGTTTTCACCGGGTTAAGATTTTTGCGATGCTACTCCTTTGGTCAAGACGTCCAAAACATGCGCACGTTCCCTCCCGCCATTGCATCGCAAGCCTCAACCAAATGTGAAAAAAAAAAAAAAAAAATCCATTGTTTTGATTGGAAAAAAGATGTGTCAACTGTTTGCCCAGATTAATAAAACCTGACAACAAAATCACCTACCACATCAAGCGTGTCGAGCATGGAAAGTAAAGAGAATGCAGCAATTACTAGCCCAATTTTAGAGCAAATCACCCGCTTTGTCCGAGAGTGAAGAGGGCAATTTCTGGCATCTCTGCTGGGTACTTTATATGCAACAAGCCACCTGATTCTGCTTCCAAAGAATTACGGCACTAGGACTGTCACACTTGCAGGTTACGCATAAAGACGGGTGTGCGTCAAAAGGTTCAGATACACGGTGCCATACCGCTTTCATCTTCATCCGGCAGGAAAACGAGTAGAATGTTCAAGCTCTTTCTATCACTTCAAACTCAGTACTAAAGCAATTTTCGCAGCTTGTTCGATGCACAGTGTGCAACTATTTTCACTAGTAGGTCTATTGCAAATGACATATTTTTCTCCTCATGAATGTCCACAAAGACACATCATTAACACCTGTTTATATCGACTCGGGCATTCAGCACAACAAGCTCAAGGAAACGAGTTGTTATCCACAGATTCTGAACTAGAATATTTAATGCCCCCATACGTCTAGCAGTTTTAAAACAAGCTTCCTATGAGAGATTGATAAACAGGACTGACCGTACGACTCTACTGCACCGAGCAATATGACCGTGCTACCATCTAGTGGGATTTGTTGAAGGATAGATTTTTATGTACTAGGCGCCACTTGTAGTGTTGAGGAACTGTTTACAACACTAACTTCTTTTTATGACACATCTGTCCATCAAAACATTATAACCTGCTCACTGCTAGCCTTGAGGCTCAGTCATTATTTGCTACAAATTCTGACAATGCTAATCCCACATTTTTACCAGGCCATCATATATAATGCACCATTTTGTTTAAAGAGATTACTCTGAGAAATTCTAACGGGAGTAGTAAGCTGCCATCCTTTGCCCACCAAGACAATTTAAAAAAAAAAATCTTTTCTATCACCAGATTTTAGCAAAAAAAAAAAAAATAAATAACCCTGGTATATATTTTAATGACCAAAAAGATATGTTTTTCTTTTTCTCACAGCCATAGCCACCTCAAGAATTGGGACCCATCAGAACCTAGAAACTTTATAAATTGAGGGTGAGCTATTCAAAGACAGCCTCAGTTCTTCAAAACTGCTTTTAGAGACAAACTTTGGCAGCAAGTAAACTGCAGAAAAGGGTCTGTAACTATGGTTTCCTGATACTGTTGGTGAGTTCAGTCAGACTCTAATCTGCTGTAAAGCCATTTCAGATGTTTTACAGCAGACCTCACCATAATCATTCCAAAGGCTTCACATGGTCAGGTGTCAAAGTTGAAAGTCACCCACTACTGGCATGCTTAGTTCCAGTACTAAAAGGGCCCACAGAAAATAGTTCTTTAACCGAGAGGGTCACATACTGGTTAAAAAGATAGCTGGAGTAAGTGCGGAAAGATAAGAAAAAAATATTTTTTAATGTGTAGATTTTGGTTTTCTGGTTGGTTCCAGGTTTGAACTCTCGAGGCAAAACTACCACTTGCCATACAGTTCATTACCCCAAAAAATGTGAATAGTTTGGAAACTGAGAGCAGCTGAAGTGTAGAAAGTTTTGTTTTTGGGGAATACCGTAAAATCCCGAAACATGCCCCACCCCCCAAAGGTAACCCACCCCCATTTTTGGCTTGACATTCTTTTTTTTTTTTAGACACCAAAAGATGGCTCATTTTTAGTAATTGTAGTGTTCGGATCAACGTAGGTTTTGGCGTAAATGTGTCTAGTTAGCTATGGTGGGATATAAGCGAATATTGCTGACTGGGAAGTACGGTCATCTTTGCTTCATTGCCCCTTGCCGCAATAACAAGTTTGACAAAGACAAATGATCTAAAAATAGCATTTTTTCAACTTTTCTTCATTACCCACCAAAAGTTAGCCCACCCCTTATTTTCACCAAATTTTCTTTCGATTTTAGGTGGGCTATCTTTCGGGATTTTACGGTATTTCCTAATATTGAGGTGTCCGGTTACACTGTATACCATATGCATTTGAACTTAATTCCATCAATTTCCTCCCATAAAACAATCGTTTTATGCCTAGAGAAACCACAAATGTATCGAATGCATGGCCCACCCAACAAATTTGTAATAGATTTCACCCTAACAGGCAACATACTAATGCACCGGTGCCAGCACATAAAAAGCTGAACTCCTCTTTGTTGCAAACCTTTGCAGCTGAGAAAACAGGAGTCTAACACTACACGAAACCAAGTGCTCTTGTGTACGACGGTACTCGATTAAGGTTTCCGGGAAACCTCTATGGATGGCCAGCAACTAGACAAGCATTGACTAAAAAAATGTTAATCAAAATACAGAAAAAATATTCTGAAGCCGGCATTTTTGAAAGACAAAAGCGAGTGCTAGTAGTGTTTGTACAGATGAAGCTGACGGGATCGCAAACGCAAGGGGAAAAACTTTTGGGCAAGCGTCTGACCTGACCCTCCACTACAATCGGGGCAACAGACTTTGCTCTGCCTGTTCAAATGTCCGGGAGTTTTCGCAGAAAGGCTAATGACTAGTAGGCAATGAGCTCCCGCTAGCAAACATTGTGAGGCAGAAACAAAATATACAAAACATGTGCACTATATGAAATTAAGAGGCAGTTCATTATCTGGTAATAATTAAGTGGAGAAAATACAACTCTTAAAACCGACTTTTAAAATTTTTCAATGACCTTAGAGCGCGAGAGGCACAAGCAATAATGGAGGCACAGGACAGATCGAAGTCGGAGCTGGACTCGTGTGCACGTGCCTCACTGGCAGAGAGAATGCTGACTGGGATCTCCTGTAATCTTTTCTGACTTTCATAGCTTTCTGCATCTTTCTGGCAATGCCCTGCCAGCATATTTGCCAGAACTTTAATTTTTCAGAGATTTATCTAAAGCTTTTTTTTTGTATAAAATTAAAGATAACGTAAGTTATGTTTAAACTAGGGTTCCATGTTTTAGGTCAAAAAATGATAAACCGTGATAATTAATTACCCCAGCCGGTTTTATAAGAACCCAAGAGAAAAATAAAAGAAAACCCAAATTGAAGCTGTCCTCAATAAAAAAAAAAATACCTAAGCTTCACAGAAAAATTTTTTTTTTTTTTTTGATCTAGAGTTTTTATTTGTTTTTAACCTGGAACACGATTCCCACCCACCAGAGCTCTTGCTTCTCTTTGTTGGAACTGGGGGATCGGTGGCCAAGTGGGCTAACGTGTCTTAGCTCGGAGCGTGGAGCAAAAGCTTGCGCTGCAGGACCTCCTGGGTTTGATCCCTACCCCCTGCCCGTTTTGACCTGGACGAATTTTGTACCGGCACGCATTCACGTAGTCACTACTGCATGATGCACGTTAAAGACCCCATGCTAGCAGTTGTACTGCAATGGCTAAATTTCTCATCTACAGCTAAGAGACTGGTCTCCCACTAATGCATACTAGCATACTAGGCTATATGAATATGCAAGCAACACATTTTTTTTTTTTTTTTGTCGAAACCCTATTTATTTTTTTGTTGTCCTAATATGAGGGCCGGGGAACCCCAAGCACGTGCCCCATTTTCTTCTATCCAAGCCCCGAAAAATTCAAAATTCTTGTCCCCCCCCAGAAACAAAAAAGAAAGCCGTTTACAACTCCCTGTAATGCCAAATTAGAGCGCAGCTCTTAAGGAGGAGGATGAAAGGGAACTGAGGAGAGGGTATACCCCTCCTCCCCCTTCCTCACCTCGTCATCCTGCCTGCTACTCCACCACGGAAGCCACGTGGCCTTACGGGGGCCACGTGACTTCAGGGAGGGTCACGTCACCTCAGGGGGGGGGGGGCCACATGCCTTACGGTTAGGTCGACGGCAACGCCGCTGAAGCCGGAAACGGGCACCTAAGAGCTGCGCTCTAAACGAGTATACTGAAAAAACATTGAATCTGCGAAGGAAAATAGGCCTCGAAAAAAAAAACACCCTCGAATTCAAAGAAAGATAAGCCTCAAGATCATGGAACCATGAGTGTAACCTGTTCACACAGAGTCTTAGAGAGCAACTACTGGCATTTCCTATTGATAAATATTGACATGGATGTACCGTCAATTTGAGAGGTTCTCTCGACATCATCACTTACGAGAGAACTTGTAAAAATAGTTGCAACTACTAGATATTGTTAAACTCGTTTCGTAAGACATTCATTTCCTAAAACCTTCGAGGTACAGGGAATATCTCATCATACCCCTCGACTGAGTTCTTTTAGAAGTATAATGCAGATTTGGAATCATTAAACAATCGTTCGAATCACCGAGCAATTCATTAAAAATGCTTAATAGCTTAAGGCGCCAAAATGCTAAGAGGAAAGTTTATTTAAGGGAGGACACAACCCAAAAGTGTCAACTTTTGAACCTTCGGCTTAATATTTTTATTTTTATTTTACTTATTGATACCACGGGCCGCCGTGGGGCAGCCAAGGTAGGAAAGATACATCAATCATGGTTTACGATAAAGCAATGAATTGAATGTATGAATATGATTTAAATGTACAGTACCTATATACTGGCAGTAGCGAGCAAAATGCAGTGCAAAGTTTCATCAGTGTACATGAATTGTGGAAGAAATTATAACGGCTTTTATAAGGAACACACTGACATTGTTTAGGAAAACTATTGTTCGAAAACTAATGTAACAACTAACATTTTTCTTCACTAGGTAGGAGAATGCAGCAGTGAAACAAAGTTTCCAAAATGTAATTTATTTTATGCTAACTTCGCACTGAAAAATCATATAAATTTCTTGCCTTTTATGTTGTCGACAAAATCTTAACATATCTTACAAAGGCATCTACAAAATACAAAAGCTTGAGATACACCTAGGCACTTTTTACGAGTTGTGCATGCGAAAGCATGAATGTCGTTCTTGCGCGTATCCTCGTGAAGTTGCTCTGCCTCGCTGACATTGGCCATGCCGCCGCTTTGTCGACGGCACGGAATCAGCTGCAGGAATTGGCTGGTGAGCTCAGGTGGCGGCACGGCCACCCAAGCGCGCCAGCCGATTCCGGCGCGCTGGCGGAAAAACATGCATGAAAAAACAATGCCACAGCTGCATTGCCCCATTATATTCCACTTATAAAAATGCTATTGAGTTTTTTGTTTTGTTTTGCTACCAAACGATAGTTTTCCTAAAGTGAAAATTATGCCAAAAAGTGGAATGGAGAAAAATCTGTTAAAAGTGATTGAACCTCTACCTTTTCTTTAGCATTGGTGGGCAGAAAGTAATTTATAAAAAAAATAACTATGCTGCGTAAACAAATGAAACTTGTTGTGAATACTCTCTAATGTCCTCACCCAAAAGTACCAGATGACGACATGCACCTTTTGCGATGCCCTCACGCAGCTCATATTAATGCGCCAAGAAACTGAGGGAAAGCAGAGCTCGCAGGGACCTCACAACGCCAAGCTCAAATTCGAATGATTGGTGGGTAGAGCTAGAGCTTTGTCCTGAGTGCAGTGGAGACCTTTGTCTCCACTGCACTCCTCTAACGCGGTTTGAATGCAAAAGCCAAATGCCAGGTACCGGCATTCAACTTTCTAACCGGTTCGAGAGTGCAGTTGAGACAAAGACAGCTAGCTTTAGGTCCACCCACAAATCACTCCAACCAGAGCTCGGCATTCCGACATCCCTATGTGATCTCGTCTCCTCGTCTCCCTCAGTTTCTCGCTGCATAGCCTGCCCTGGTCAGAGCAAATTCTAGGCCTTGACCAGTTGAAGGCCTCTTCCAAACAGTTCTGGTCCACAAATAATCTTTAGGGTCCTTAAAGCTCTTGCCCGTCAGTCGAGCCAAGCAATAAAACTTTCCTTTGTCATGCACGGAGATACATCAAGCTTCTGTGTCATGTTGCCTCCATATATGACAGCGTAAAAGTCAATTTTATAATACTAACGATTGGGTGAATATTCTCTTGATCTGCTGTCTTCTTCATCAAACATTTCCTACTTTCACTGAGCATGAGTCCCCCATCACCTATGCTGGCCACAAGGGCTCCCTGAGACACTGATGGTTGAAAATCAGTCCTACTGGAACACTATGGTGAAAAGTTAAGAACCCAGTAAATGCTCTCCCTCTAGCACGTGCTCGTTGCCTTCCTCCAAGTTTTGGCTGAGCATGCAACAAGTGTTACCAAAGACAGAAACACAGTGCTGGAGGCGGAGCATCTACTGAATTCTTAGCCTGTCACAGACAAAAAATGACAGGGGGACACTCAAGGTTGTTTACGTGTGGGAATGCGAAAGCAATATAGTCCCACGGGAAAAATGTTTTCGAGTAATGTTTATATACATATTAAAGTTTAGGACGGCGTCTAGGATGATGCCAAGGACGGCACCTAGGATGATGCCGAGGACGACCTCTTGGACGACCCTAAGGACGACGTCTACGACGAAATCTAGGACGACCTTAAGGACATCAGCAAGAACGACATCTAGGACAACTTCTAAGATAACCTCTAGCACGACGTCGAGAACGTCATCTAGGATGACCTCTAGGACGACCTCAAGGACGACCTCAAGGACGACAGCAAGGATGGCGTCGTCCTTGAGCATACGATTGAGCGGCGCGTGCTTGATGACATATTTTTATGGCCATCTTTCGGGCACGGAGACGCCACTTTTTCGCTCAATGGGACAAGTAAGGCTTTTGCCTTAATAACTGAATTCGGCCCAGTGGCACACCCAGGGGGGGGGGGGGGGGGGGGGGGGGGGTTTGGGGGATCATAACACTCCCCCCCCCCCCCCCCCCCAGAGCTCCGTGAGAAATTTTTTTTTTTTGTGGGCATATTTTGACGATTTTTTTAATGTAATGTTCGCAACGAGGACCTTTAAGGGTAAATAAATTCATCGCCCCCTCCCCTCCTCCTTCCCCCCCTCGCCGCTGCACTGGTGATGTGCACGGCACGAGGGAGTCATTTCTGTAATATGCAATCTTACATTGACAGATGACACACTACTATTACCAAAATTATCTATGTGGTGAAAAGTGCTCATCTGATGCACCAATCTAGGTGTCACAACCTTGCGCCCCTCGATACACTGTCCGAGCAAAATGTAAAAAACCACCGATGATCGTATTCACGCTAACAGTGTCGCGGTGTGTACAGTCTCCCGCAGTGGCGCACCCACGGGAGGGTGGGGGGAAGGTTGAAGGTCCTAACCCTCCCCCCAGAGTTCTGCAGCGGTCAATCGGAACCCCTTCGCCCCCATTGCATTTACGATACTGCAAACAACGTGACAGTTAGTACGAAAGAGTCAGTTCCGGATTTTTTTTTTTCGTAAGTACATTGGCAAATTACACTATTTTCTCAATTATTTATGCGTTAAAACGGGCTCATCTCAGGCCCCAACCTAGGTGTTAAAATTTTGAGTCCCTTGACACGCTGTTTGAGCAAAATAAAATACCGCCGGTGCCGCGGTCTGTACATTCATATCTTTTATTTTGCTGAATTTCTCTGTCTACTGTAGGAGATAAAAAATCATTATTAATTCTATATCCAGACATGTTTCTTATTTGACGAAATAAACTCCCCCAAAAGACGAAGCAGGACGTTGGGCTCCACCAGTTAACTGCGGTGTCGTTTTTGAATCGCATTCTGTCCCCAACTGTTAGAGAAAAAGCAACCACACTTTAGGTTATTATAACGCTTTCTTATTTTTGTGTAGCGCGGATAGTCTGGAATGTTGTATAAAAATATCTGAGATATCCGTTACGCACTAACTTTCAAATCTGTTTCCAAAACAATTTTTCAGAAGGATTCTATATAAATTGATTGCACGGTCTGCGTGCGTCATCACATTTCGAACCATCTAGGATCGAGTTATACATTCACTGCCCATTTTTGCAGGAAATGTTCTTGAAAGTGATAAGTTCAGTTCAGCACGCTTAATGCGTGTGGCCTTCGCCGACTTAAGCCTGGTTCAGACAGTTGCATTTGACTGCGTTTGACAGCGTTGCGTCGAGAACCGAAAGCGAGTCACCGGCACATCTCTGCTTCGTATGAAGCGTGGAATCCAATTCAATGAATCATCTTGGCACGCAATATAAGCAGCAGGAATGTCCTGGTTTCTCGCTGCCGCAACGCAGTCAGACGCTGTCAAACGCAACTGTCTGAACCAGGCTTTACGCTAGTCTTCGTGGGGGGAAGGGGGGGTCATGTCTTTTTTGTGGCGGGTCTGCTTTGTGAAGGGATTGAAGGATTTGGATTTCGGAGATAGGCTGGTCCCCGGCGCCTCCTCTCCCAACCTATTGTGACTTTGCCGAGGGGCCGCGGCTGGGCGCCGTCGAGACGGCAGACTGTAGCACTAGCGAAACTACGAAGGTGCGAAGTAGTTGTCGTGAACGGACTTGGCGTGGCGCCGAGTAGGCTCCGGACAGTTGTACTGCCGAAGATACGGGAGTGTCTTCGGCAGTACTAACCAAAAAGTTAATTTTTGGTTATAGTCCCTATTTTTCGCTTCATGTCAATTCCTAACCAGGCAGAGGGCTGTCGGATGTTTACCTTCATATGTTCATAGAAAATTAAGACTTAATTTTTTTTTGTTTTCATTATGAAAATTAGATAGAGCAATAATATTTTGTATAGAGCTGGGTGGCTATATCAAAATATCAGAAAAGACATTTTCTCAAAAATTACTTCTCCCCAACTTTTTACCATTCGAAGACCAGACTGATTTTACGTGGGCGCAATGTAGGAAAAATTCAAAAAGGTTACTGCTCTCTATGAATGTAAAACTGTGAATGTTTTGGATAAATAAATGTGCATACCAAGGAATGCAATCGTGTCGATGGCATTAAAATTAATTCGCGGAGTGCAAATAAAATCTCGCAATGACGCGTACAAACGGAAAAAAAACCGACATAAAAAAAGGTTAAATTATCCCCCCCCCCCTGGCCAGCCCTCCCTCCTCCGATCGGTTGTCGAAATTTCACAACCCCCCCCCCAGGCAAAAATTCTGGGTGCGCTAATGATTCGGCATACACCAATTGGTTAGCCTGCCTGTCGAATGTGTTTGATTCACCTGGATCGCTTGAAGTCCTTCATCAGGGTGTGGTGCTCGGGCATCTTCTTGATGTCCTCCCAGTCTTTTTCTGAAGGGGCAATAACAAAGACCGTGCTACTGCCAATGCAACAAAACCTACCCATTATAGTTGTAGCAAGCTCCTCCATTAAAAACTTGGGCTAAACTGGCCCTCCATGAGGTAGAAGAAAGAGAAGTGTCAAGAGGGAGAATGGGAGAACGGGAAAAGCAAGGAAAGACACACGGAACAAAGGAGATGAAATGGACGGGCTACTCAAGACGACCAGACTGGACTGGTTCTCCTCGAGGCATAGACCAAAAAAAAGATGAGTGAGAAAGGCGAATGAGAGAAGGGGTGCACCGTGGGGGAAGCCCATGACGTTGAAGATCCGGTCCAACTGGTCGTGGTGGTACGGGTTGCTCGTCTTGATGTCCTCCTGGCGGCAGTGGAAGATGGGCTCGGACGTGAGCAGCTCCGCAAAGATGCACCCAATGGCCCAGATGTCTGTGGGGAAGCAGCCCACAGTCAACCTCGTGCCGTTTTTTTTTTTAATGTCTCTCACACAATGCCTGATCTTTCGTGATACACACAAACATGTGTATCACAAACATGTGTACACACAAAGGCCTATTCAGACATACACTGCAGCACTGATGCAGTTCTATACTAGACAAAGCATGGACTCTGGGCTATATAAGCGCCGCAATATCAACGCTCCGCTGCATGCGACCTGGTCTTTCCCTGCGAACACACACAATGCAGCGCTGACCTGCCCTTCGTAGTACATTGTGTTGCATTACTTGCACAACTTTTTTGACTTCACCCTCAGTATGGTCAGTTTTAAAATAAACTTCAAACATGTAAAACAGTTGACTTGGTGTCAGTGGGAATCCACTAAAATGCCACATGTACAGTCTCCGGCAATATGAAAGACCCACTGGGAGCGTGTGGCTGAGGCGGTGGCTGGCGGGGACGCAGCGAGCGCTCCGGGCAATTCCATTCTGCTTCGAGGGGAGGACGCTCACTCGGGGCTCAGCACAAACTGATAAGCGCGTTTCGCTTTAGCTGAGCCCGAGTGAGCGTCCTTTCCTCGAAGCAGAATGGGATTGCCCGGAGCGCTCGCAGCGCCCCCGCCAGCCACCGCCTCGGCCACGCGCTCCCTGTGGGTCGCATACTGCCGGAGACTGTACAGCCCATGAGAGGTGGATAGGCAGTATAAAACATGCAACTACATGTAGAGATACTTTCCTAATGTAATCAGACAGTCAGCACAAATGGGGATGTAGACACCAGGCAGATGATAATATGGCAGTAGATACCAAGCGCTTTTGAGCACATTCAACCAAATTCGAGTTTTCTCAGTTGGAATTTATTTAATCAGAAAGAACCCATCAACTGTTTTGGGCGAGCTAGGCTCGTCCACCAAAAGCCATCCCAAAATTGTTTGGGGCGAGTGTAGCTCGTCCGCGCAATCTCCCTCGTCCATCGGCTGTTTTGGACAACCCAGGCTCGTTCAGAGCTTAGTTTGCGGCGCTGCCAGAAAATGGCAGCACACATTATTTTTTTTTTTTTTATTGTACACCTTTTTCAAAATGGCTATCGGCAATGGTCGAACATGCGGACCTCACCACATGTGTCTAATGTGGTGAGGGCCGCATGTTCGATCAAAAATTTAGAAAAGCAGTTTAGAGTCAAAAACTGCCCCCCCCCCCCCTGAAAAAAAAAAAGCAACAGCTGACGGGTTAATATTCTGTACTCAAAGTGTAATTTTATGTACACAGTTAATTTTTATCTTGATTAATTAAAAATTTTGCTCGCTAAAACCGAGACTAAGCTATGATATAGTGACATCATCCAAACAACATACTGCAAAAACCAAGCTTAGAGTAAATTACTACGAAGAGTAGAATACAACACTAAAATTATGAGACAAGTAGTCCCCATTTTGGCCCACTCGGGGGCACGGCCAAAGAACTCAAGATTTGAAAGGACTCCAAGTAACACAAGACGACACTGCTGGAGAGAAATTGACCGATTTCCGCGCTGTCCAAAGACATCCCCCGATGCTTAGGGAGTGTTAAATAATAAAGGGGCACCTACTTTGATTCCGAAGGACGCCGGGTGCCCCTGTCCCCCTGGCAATTGAAGTGCTTTAAAAGAAAGCCGGATGGGGCGGGACGTACCGATGGCTTTGGTGTAATGTCGTGCCCCCAGGAGGAGCTCTGGGGCCCGGTACCAGAAGGTTACCACCACGGGGTCAAGGTCGGCCAGCGGTTTCAGCGGAGAGTTGAACAGTCTCGCAAACCCCATGTCCGCTGCACAGACGGAGCACAACACAGTTGCTTGCATCGTGCCGACGCGACGGCAAGAAAGAAACCGAGCCACCCAATGTTTTTTTTGTTGTTTTTTTTGCGATTTGTTTTGCAGTTTTAATTTTGTCAAGACTCCTCTCCCACGAGCTGACGCTGGCATCAACGAGACACCGGCTGTGCCATTTTCGCCCCATAAATTTTGAGGCATTTCATTATTTAGTGCTAAGTCTGAACCGTTGTGCACTAAACCTGGTGAACCCTCTGTCCTGGTTTCCTATAGAGTGCTGAGATGAAAGACGAAAGGGGAGGGGGAAAGTTTAAGATACCACAATAAAATACCGAAAATTCACTGGCACCGGTGCGAGCCATCTTATACGGTTATACCCCATTATTCGTAAGCAATCGGCTAGGACGTGGATTTTCAGGTTGGATTCCGAAATTCTCACCACACTAAGCAGAGGGCACGAGATGTGTTCCCTTACTAGAGGAACTGTACATTTATCTTCTTTTCAGATGCGGAAAAGTTCAGCAGCGTAGCTTTTTTTGTTCTCTATTGTGGCAGAGACACTCCAGCCATCACTGATGCTGGTAAAGGTAAGCTACCCAAGAAAAGGGTGTGTGCCTACTCACCAATCTTCACTCTGCCTCTCTCTGGACCTTCACCCATTACAAGAATGTTTGCCGGTTTCTGCAAGATCCAGAAGAGGGACGTCGGTTGCAATTAGTAAAAGGATGCACGAGGATTCAGTCAATGTTTTTCATTTATGATGCAAAAATGCCTAAAGAGTACTCAACGCAAATTAACTTTTGCAGCTCCCAATGTGTCCACCTCAGATTGTTTTATATGTCTTGCCGTTTAGTGAAACATTATTTAATAGCAGCAGCAATATAAAGGAATGAAGCAAAAAGAGAACCGAAGATCATGTTGTTGAAGAAAAAGACAAAAACAAAATGAGGTTTCAGATTAGACAACGTGCAATCGGTTCCATTGGACCAAGTCTGAAACTGCACAAGTCCCAACTGTTCTCGGAAGCCCACACTTTGGGGCCTTGAATGCATCTCACACCAGCGTTTTACGGCACCCTTTTGTTCTCTCAAATTTAGGTTTATTGCCTCCAAAGACATTTGGAGGAATGAATCCAGGGTAATCTTTCCATCGAATAAACGCAAATTTCAAAGCTGCTGCCCCCAACTCCCCCGTCCCCCCTAAAATAAAAAAATGCCATACAGTTTGCGAGTTCACAGGTTCTCAAACTGGATTTCTCGAAGCCAAACACTCTCACCTTTGATGGAAGGTATGTGTTGCATCCCTAAATATGCAAAAACTAGCACAACACAATTTTTTTGGTAATTCTAGTATAAGATGTTTTGTTCTCTCTCTGACCAATAGCTTGGAGTTTTTATATCGTCCAAAGAAACCTCAATAGCCATGAGGCGTTGTCGGAGGGAGCAGGTTTTTAGAAAAGCTCATCAAACGTAACTGGAATACAGCAAAGACAACATCTGTAGACACAACTAGTGTAAAAAAAAGTAGGATTGTGTGAATATTCAAATAATAGTTTCTACTAGTACATTTCTCAGTATTTGCTTCCCAATGTGGACTGCAATATTCATATTTTTTTAAGTGTTGATCACGGCGGGTCAGCCCCGTTGAGCATATTTCTTACCCAGCACCGGTGCACTGCAGAGAAGCAACACTCATGGAGTTCACTTCCGCAAGTGTTGCTTCTCCGCAGTGCACCGGCGCTCAGTAAGAAGCGGGCTCAACGGGGCTAACCTACAAATATTGCTGTCGCACGCTTAGGAGAAAAGCACACTTGCAAAGTGAGATGGTGCACACGCAAGCCTGGTGAATTTAAAAGAAACAAAAACTTTGGGAAAGTTGATACCTGCATAGCAGCAAAACATCTCAAATTAAATTGTGACTATTGCATAAGAGTATATGTCAGGCAGAGGTGCCCTGACAACCTGCATATACAGTGAAACCTGTTTAGAACGAACCGGCGTACGGCGAATTATTGTCGGTATCGAACTCACGGAAAATTTAAATAAAAATGCATGTAAAAAGCATGTTTTATAACTAACAACATTTAGGCTATATCTAGGGTTCAGATTTTTCGGTTTAAACCGATAAAAACTGATAAAAGTATGCCGAATTTATTTTCGGAAATTCGGTTGTAACCGAAAAAGGTCAGTTTGTAGGTTCGGTGTTTTCAATTTAAACTGATAAAAAACCGATAAAAGTATGCCTGATTCGTTTTCTGAAATTCGGTTTTAACCGAAAGAGGGCAGTTTTTTAGGGCCACGTCGAGGTGTGTGCGTGTGTGTGTGTGTGTGTGTGTGTGTGTGTGTGTGTGTGTGGGAAGGGGGGGGAGAGAGGACTTTGCAAGGTTTGTTCGTGATTGCCCTCTTCCAAGGTCTTGGATTGGCCTTCACAGGACATCTGTGTCCTAAAAAAGAAGTTTGGATGTGGGCTAGTATAAGGTTTTTCACTTCGTGCACTTAAGAGGACATTGAGGAAAGCCTCTAATACCTTTCTTAACACACTGTCTCAAACTTCCCTCTGGTTAAAAACATAAATGCGATGAATTTCTTTTTTTTTTTTTTTCATTCTATTGGATTTTGTACGGTCATCACGTCAGGCTGACACGTTGTCAGAATGGGAAGGAAAAAGAAGCAAGGTGAAGATTATGCCCGTGAATTCCGCAATTTTGAGGTGCGTCCCGATGGAAGTTGCAGCGAAGGCCACGTATGTATATGTGCCGTTATTCTTTGAGCGATCACAAATATCACAGCTACAAGGATCATTTGATTCGGTGTCCGATGCTGTTTTTTTCATATTCACCGACAAAAACCGGTGAACTTTTTGGGCAATAAATATACACCCAAAAAAACAAAAAATTAAATTTAAAAATAAACACCATAAAAAATACACCAAATTTCGAAAAAAAAAAAAAAGAAACGAAAACGCAGAACCTTAGCCATATCAAACTTTTCCCAACCGGGAAAACTTCCAAAAATGCACAAACAACTGTCTTCTAGCCTGTCCCTTCTCACAAAAAAGTAGGAAAGAAAGAAAATTCCAAAAGCTCAAGTTGTGAACAAACTTGAGCGAAGAGAAGCGATTCAGAAGGGGAAATAAGCTAAAAAAAAATTCTGCACACATGCAAAAAAAAAAAGAAAACTTTTCGGCGTGTTGTTACAAGGCGAAAGTGAAGAGATTGAGAAAGAAAGAGAAGCTCTCGCCTTACAACAAACTCATTGTGGAAGTTCGTCGTAAATGTTTTTTGCTATATCGAACAACCTGCTATATCGAACTGATCGTAGTGAAAGCTAGGGAAGAACCTTCACGAGTTCAGTTAGGTTTTCGTTTAAGCATGGTGCAGTAGCGAAAAGCTCCAAAAAACAATTCAATATTCAATTAAAAAAAATATTTTACTGAAACCAATATTCAACTTGAATTCCCTTCAAACTCAAAATGCACTATTCACACATGTCTAAAAAAGGCATTACCTAAAAAACAACTGGAATACAAAAAAGACATTTTCCAACCAACAAGAGTGGAAAGTAAGAGTTATATTTATCAAACACATATCAAAAATTATAACAAACACAATTCTGAAAATTCGTCACAAATAGTACATCTTTTGGCAACCTACTCACTCTTTGATAGTTTTCAGAAAAAGAGCAAAAGCTAGAACATCAGTGTGGAATGAGTGGATTCAGATGTTGTTTTAGGTAGTGTGCTCTGCGTAAGAACATATCCCTATTGATTAGTAGTTTATTATTATATATTGTCACAGAGGACATGCAACAAGACAGGGGTGAAACAAGGAAACTAAAAGTTTAATGTGGCGAACTTGTGCCAAACAAAAGATGTAATAACTGGGCGTCACGGGTGTTGATGTCAGCGTAGCAACAGGATCAAGCGCTGGCGAAAGACTGACTCCTGGTCGCCATGCGGAGCCCCCTATGTACACACGTGGGCTTCTGGGACAATCGCCGTAGAAGGTTCAGCGCGTGGAACATTCAGACCTCCAAAAAGCAACAGGGTTCTCGAATTTATCAGAACGCGACATTTACAGAAATAACAAAAAGGTGCATTCGCTCCCCGGCATCGAACCTCAGCCTTTTGCACGGGAGACAAGAACGATAACCATTCGGCCATGGGCACGCTTGGTCAGAGACACGCGTGGCAATATTATCTAAAAACGTTAAGCTACCTAAATTATTCTTGCCATTTACCAAGTAACTCCCAATAAGTGGAGCCCGGTTACATCACACTCGGGTATTTCGAATTATTGTTTACCATACTCGAGTATCGGTTGTGATACCCAAGTGTGGTACTTGAGTAGCACACTCGAGTATCAGGTGTGATACCCAAGTGTGGTACTCGAGTACCACACTCGGGTATCACACCCTACAATAATTCGAAATACCACACTCGGGTATTTCGAATTATTGTAGGGTGGCAAGAGCAAGGGGAAGTGCACACACACGCACATACGGAGGGCAGGGAATACTCGCAGTTGGAACGGTAGTGAGCGCTCTTTCCTCCAACACTGCTGTCCTTAACCCCAAAATAAAATAAGAAAAATAAAAATAAAAAATAAGTTTTTGGCAGTCCGAGTTTGTCCAGAACAATGATTGTGCAACTGCACTTTGGACGCTTTGTTTATCCTTGTTTACCTTTTTCTTTCGCCGCTATTGCTTTGCCAGTTTTGTTTCGCCTTTTTTTTTTTGCTGCCGGATTTTAGTGAGCTTTTGTTTTGTTACTTGCTTAACTTTGTTCTATCGATCAAGAGTTTTTTTTTACGCACCTCGCTTTTTCCGTTTTTCTTTCATATTCATTTATTTTCGTGTTTCGTCGCCTGTGCTGTGAAGACCACGGCCAAGCGCGCACGTAAGCATGGCGGTGCTTGCGGTCTCCACCAACTACGCTCTACTGTATTTAGCGGCTCTTGGATGCTCTATTTGGTAAGCTCCCGTTTGTCGCAACCTTCAATATTAGCAGAGACGTGCGGAAATTTCAACTGGAGCTTAAGAATATACTTTTGTATATTGAATTATTGATATATCAAACTATTTTACGATCCCCTTCAAAATTCATAATTCTAGCTAGGACATTTGTTTTGTATTTTCTCAAGTTTATCTATTAACCATGAAATGTATGGAATGTGCATCATTTGTCCAAACCCTGGACAAACAATGCATAATTTATACATGCAAAACACATTGTTCTCTTAATTTGGCTCAAAGCTTTTCTGAAATGTTGTTGTACTATAAAAAGTAAGTATGCACATATAGCCTTATGAAGACCTTTGAGAGACAACGGAGGAAGCAGGAGAAAGCGGGCAAAAAGTGTCCACCTACCAGGTCCCTGTGCAGGACCCAGTTGGAGTGGAGGTAGTGGATTCCATCCAGGATTTGGTAGAGCAAAGACTTGACCATGCCTCGAGGCACCAGCACCTGCTTCTTGTTGGCCTTGGCCGTCCGGTGGAACTTGATGATGTGCTGCGGTCAATGGGGAAGGAGATGCTGCACTGCACCGTCAAGGAGGGAGACGGCGCCACATACCCAGAGGTCGTGTTCGGCAAAGTCGAAGAGGAGGTAGACCTTGCGGTCGTTGTGGGACAGGAACACCCGTTGGAGGTTGATGACATTGGGGTGCTTCAGCTCTCGGAGAAGCTGTAGGGTGCCCGCCCAAGCCCCAACAGACTTTAGCATCCAACTTCACGCAAAAGGACCGAGAGAGAATGCAGTGGCAACGCTAATGTGACGCACGACATTTCCTCAATCAGTCGTGACCGCATTTCTACCGCGATGAGAAGTTTTGAAGAATGACGATATTGCACTGCCTTTTGCAGGTGTCTTCAGAAAGAAAGCCAAATGGAGCAGTACAAGCCCGGTTGGGATACGAGAATGTTAAAATTGGGTCAGCGCCACGTTTGAGTGTGCGCTGCATTTCAAAAATTTTTACTGCTTAAAAAGCTGTCATGCATTAAAGAATTAGATGGAAAAAGAATAGCATAAAACAAATTCACAAAGAAAACAAATTTCTTAGAGCTATATTTACGGCGCTAAACGAATTCACAGTTGGCCCCCGCGGGAGCATGCGCCAAAGTGGCCGCTATGGTAACGTGACTGGCCGATATGGCCACGTGACTGGCCGCTATGGTCACGCAGCTGGCCGCTATGGTTACCTGGTTCTTGCACTCTTTCGGGAGCTTCATATGGGCTCTAAAAATTACTTATTAACCTTCGTTTGAAGTACAACAAAAAACAAAGTAACTTTTAGAGCCCAAAGGAGGCTCCTGAAAAAACGCAAGCACCACGTGAAAGACCTGTGCGCCGGTCAGAAACTGACGGCGCCGGTGCGCCGGAGTGTTGCCTTCTGGTGACGGCAGTGCGGAAAAACGCGTTCAACCAGCGACGCACCACACTCAGCGTGCGACAGTGGCATGACTTTGCAGCAGCGGTAGTGCAGCGCAGCGGCGCACAGGTCTACCCAAAACCAGTGGCGGCTCCCGCGGGCGCCAACTACAAATTCGTTTCGCACCACAAATATAGCTCTAAAACCGTTTTCTTTGCTGTAAATTTGTTTTGTGACATTTTTTTCTACCTAGGCTGTTTAAAAATCTTTTTTTTTTCCCTTTGCATGTGTCCTTTAATATTTCGAAGGCTACAGCTAAACTTAAACTTCCCGATTCTGCTTTCCTAAATCCCCGACGGCCTACCCCTGCAGAAATGTCTCACGCACAAAATAAATCACACTAAGTGTCAGTTCAGAGCAGCAGCATATAACTTCATGCAAATAGATGTTTGGATAGTAAATAGTTGGTCATACGAAAATTTCAGAAGTCAATACATTAAAAGTAATGTATAAAAACTTAGCAGATTCATTTATGCCTTCAGTTTACAGGAATCCTGAACTCCTGAGTACTGCAGCAAGACAGCTTTATTTGAACGTGTTTCTTATCGAACCCTGGCGACCCGGTCGTCATCTCAGAATGCGCGGTACTGCATTTTCCTAGCTATAATTCACAAACTGTGTATAGTCCCGCAGGGGCAAATTTCAGATAGGAAAAGTTTTTCCTTCGATAGCTGGCATCTAGTGCATAATTCGCACGTAAAAATCTATCGTACACAGCATGCCTTGAAAAATGCTTGCTTTATTATTATTAGTGCACAAAGAAACTGGTATAATATAAAAATCATCAGAATAATCTACTATTCACAAATTCGTCACATCTGATCATAATGAACGACACAGAAAAAACAAATCTTTGTGTATTCTGCACCTGTAAATAATATGCACCGCGTTAAGTTTCAAGTTTTTAACATGTATAGTCCACAGGCTATAGTCCAGAAAATATGATACTTATTCTCAAAGTTCAGCATTATCGAACTATCAATGCAGGTCAAGTGCTCCCTTCCATCCATTCAGTCTTATCTTAGCCTTCAAGATACAATGTGCAACATGTGCACAAGTGGATACTAACCAGTCCGGTCGACTTGCAGAAAGCAATCATACAGTTGAACCTCGATTTAACAAGGTCACCGGGACTCGCTAATTACTTCGTTAAACCGGGAACTTTGTAAAATCGAGGAAGGGAAACCTCGTGCATAGGCTGCGCGGGGAATGCGAATTTCTTCGTTAAATTGTGAAATTTGTAAAGTCAGGTTTCGTTAAATCGAGGTTCAACTGTATCATGTTTCACTTCAACAGTGCTGGTCTTATGCCAGCTTCTGCACTGAAATGACGTAGCAAAGCCAACTGCCTGAGTATGTTTTGTTCCAGGAGGAACTGACCCGCATACACTGGGGGGCAACACACGTACCGCAATTTCTCGACAAGCAGACATGGAGATGCCAGTGCCTTCGATCTGTTTCAGGGCGTAGTCCCTGGTGTCAGACCTGGAGAGTACAAGAACGTCTTCAGTGCCCTTGTCTTGGGCCAAGATTTCTGTTCAATCATTGTTGCCCACTGCCCGAGGGCACCACAAGGATAAATGTGCAATCCCACTGCCCTTCCTGGTGCACTCCCGACTATTTTTCAGAACTTTTTAGCTCGCTCGAATAGTGTAAGTTGTACAGTGATGTTACTTGCAACAAATTCTAATCTGTCTTGTCCTTAGAACTTCAGGATGCATCCATTTAGCAATCAATCATGTTCACTTGAGGCAAGGCTGGGGGTTGTGGTGCCTTGGAGTGGTAGGCCACAGGAAATGGGAACCATGTTGATCGGGTTGGCAGGACACCAACAACTCAAGTTCTAGAACAGACATTAAAGCATGTGGGGTAGCGCAGTCTGTCAAACGCAAGTGCGTGGCAGCATCGCATTAGCTGCGCTATAGTCACGCGAGTGCCTGGTGTATGCAATGGGTGCTGTCATCGTTCGCGCACAAGGTGCACTACTAACATGCACATGTAACCAGTTACATGTCAAACCAACAAAGGGAATTTGGCATGTCCCAGCAGAGGACTGAGGATGAATTTGGACCACCTGGGGATCTTTTTATGTGCAACCGAAACCTCCACGAAAAGCCTCCGTCAGATTGCGGATACCTCAGCCGAGATTCAAACCCGCCACCTAGGGATTCGTAGGCCGGTGCTTTGCCTCGGAGCCCCCAAGGCGGCTTCGTGTTCACCAAATGTTCAGACTCGGTGACAAATGCTAGGTTTACCCAATGGCCAACCTATCTCTATCTTGGGTGATATCAGATAAGATTAAGCAAAGCGTGGGTGGCTGCCATGCTTTTAATTAACTTAATATTTTTTGTCACTTTATGTCACTATAAAGAGTGTTCAAAATTAAGTTTTATACATTTTTGAAAAAGAAACTGGAATACACAAAATCAGTATTTGCACCTACGTTATGCTCCCAGGCAGACACTAAGTGCAAGAATAATCATAGCTGTTGTGTTAAGAGCGACGAGACAGAGCAGTCCTGTCGGCTTGCGGATAAAATAAAATCACACTTTATCGTCTTTCATGTACACTCGGTCTGGTATAGGGCATGCGGCTCGATGCCACGAAAGCGGCACGTGGTGACGACACCATCTACATCTTCCCCTTCCCATAAAATAAAGTTGTTAGTTCTAAACAAAAGGTTTAGGACTTAGTCGCCGTCTTGAGCTTCTCCTGAGCTCGGGTGAAGGCCTCGAGACCGACGGCCGTACAACAGCAGCTGCTCGCAGGTGCTCTCGTGTTCGGCGCAAATGTTTGCCCGTCGTTTGTACAAACAACGTAGGAATGTGGTGTTCCCGCTCGCCCTGCTACAACGGCTGGAGCACACGTGCGTGGATATGTGTCGTACACAGACACCGGCATGGCAGTCTCCAAGTCTGGCAGTGGATTAGTAGTTCTGTTGTAACATTTGTGCTGAAGGTCTCTAATCTCCCGCAGTCTGTCTTGTACCTCTATGGGGGGAATGGTGCTGGGCATCAAGTGGCTTGATGGAACTGGCGACAGCATCCTTGCCTGCCTTCCCACGAGTCTCTGGACTGGAGACTTTAGACGGTCGTCCCTCGGGCTATTCCTGTGTTCCAGCAAAGCACAAAAAAACTCTGGAGACTTGAACGGGAACTTGTTCAGGAGTATTTTGGATTCTTGCAGAGCGCGCTCGACCATTCCGTTTGATTTTGGATAATACGGACTTGAAGTAACATACGTGATTCCGTGTTTACCCACAAAGCCTCGGAATTGATGGCTGCTGTAAGGTGGTCCATTGTCGCTGCATAATTTCACTGGCAGCCCGTGCGTGGCAAAGACTTCCAGGCAGGCTGTGATGACCGCAGTCGCTGTTGTCTGTCGAAGCACCTTGACTTCAAAAAAGAATGAATAGAAATCAACCACAACTAAAAAATTTTGACCGTTGTAATGAAACAAGTTAGTCGCTACTACTTGCCATGGCAGACTGGGGATGTCGTGGGCATAGAGAGTTTCTCATTTCTCGGCTTGAACTTTTGGCAGGTACTACAGGTCTTCGCCAACTCTTCAATGTTGCTATTGAAGCCTGGCCAGTACATCACGCTTCTGGCCCTTGCCTTCATCATCTCAGTGCCCCCATGCGCGGCATGCAAGTGACTCAATACCTCACGTCGTTTTCCCACTGGGATGATTAACTTGTTACTTCTAAAAACCAGTCCGTCCTGCACATGTAGTTTATCTCGGTAGTCCCAGTAGCAGCAAACTTCTTGGAGACCACAGCTTTTTTTCTTCTGACCAAGAGTCGCTTGCAAACTGCCGGAGTTGTGCCATCACCGGATCCTTGTCAGTTTCCTGCGCAATGTTCGCCAGCCGCTGATCAGATACAGGCACAGAGTAGAAACATTCACGTTAAAATGTTCAGATTCTTCCTGAAGTTGTGTTTTGCTTGGAAACTGCGACAAGGCATCGGCAAGAAAAAAGTTCCTTTCCTGACTTGCATGTCACATTTATCAGATATTTCTGAAGGTTTAACCTCATTCGTTGCAAGCGGAGAGGACATTGACAAAATGTTTTTTTGAAAATAGACTCAAGAGATCTGTGATCTGACTCGACAATTACTTCTGGCTGCCCAAAGACATAATCTTGAAATGCTGTGCATCCATGCACGATAGCAAGCATTTCTTTCTCGATCTATGCACATCACTGTTGGGTCTCGGTGACCGAGCATGACGAATATGCTACTGGCTGTCCATCTTGAAGAATCATCGCCCCTACACCTGTCTAGCTAGCGTCTACTGAGAGAGTCACCGGCTTGTTTTTGTTGAAATGGGCTGGCACTGAAGCCTTCTTGAGCGATTCTCGCAGTGTTTCAAAAGACAACTGTTGCCATTCCGTCCAAACAAAGGCAGCATTTTTTAGGGGCGAAGCTCCTTAGGGGCTAGTCATGTCCGTATGTCCGTCCAATGTCCCGCGTCGGGTGCTCGTGCTCGTGAGCTCACGCGCACGTGAGCACGTGCTCCCGTGCTTGTGTAGGGGAAAAAAAAAAAAACGCATCTCCACGTGGTGAATGATGTTGATTGGGGCGAAGCTCTGGTGGCGCTTGTCTGCGTAGATGGTGAGCCGCAACATGCCGAGCCTTTCGTTCGTTTTCATCCATGTCAGAAAGCGAATGTGGTATGGAATCTGGTTATATATGCATTTGAGCATTTGACAGCAGCATGACATGGATGAAAACGAACGAAAGGCTCGGCATGCTGCGGCTCAGCGTCTACGCAGACAAGCACCACCAGAGCTTCGCCCCAATCAACATCATTCACCACGTGGAGATGCAGTTGTTTTTCTAGCCTGTTAGCCTTTCTGATTCAAATGCACACACTTATGTTGAAATAGCTAGAGCATCAAATGAAAGATAATCACCCGCAAAAGCATGAAGTGTATCAAAAGTATGTCATATATACTGCAGGAGGTTTTTTTTAGTAACTCTCGCAGCGAGCGGTAACTGTCGACATGTTTGGTATAAAGCGTGCCACAATATTAACCATTCCAAGAAAGATTTGCAGCTGTTTACTGTCTTTTGGCTCCAGTATTCTCAGGACGTCTTGAAGTCGCCCGGGATCTAAGCTGAGCCCTTTGTTGGTGATGACGTGGCCCAGGTACCGGACTTGCTCCCGCAGGAACTGGCACTTTTTCCTGTTAAGTATCAGGTTCTGGTCCTGGCAGCGCTCAAGTACTTTTCTCTAATTCTCGTCATGCTACTCCTTGGTTTAGCCCCATAAAAGAATGCCATCCGTTACCACGGAGACGCCTGAAAGCCCGTCCAGCACTCTGTGCATTGCCCGCTGGAAGACTTTTGGCACTATTGATATGCCAAAAGGCATACGAAGAACCGGTATCTGCCATAGGGTGTACCCATTGTGCAAACTCTGGAGCTCTCGTCGTCCAACTTGATTTGCCAAAACCCAGATGCAGCATTGAGTATTGAAAAGTACCTTGCTCCACTGAGGCTGGCTGCAACGTCTTCCAACGTCGGCGTCAGGTAGTGCTCTCTGAGGAGGGCTTGGTTGAGGTCTGGCGGGTCCTAAACATATTCTGACCTTTTCTTTTTTGGCAACAACGACCCTGTAACTTGACCACTCAGTGGGTTCTGTTACCTTGACGATGACCCCATCAGCGTCCATCCGTTGTAGTTCGGCTTTGACCCGGTCTTGAAGGGCGACTGGAACTCTTATTGCTGGTTTGATGACCTTGTGCGATTCTGGCTTCAGTTTCATGTGGTATACCACACCTTTAAGCTGGCCTAGTCCATGGAAGATGTCTTCATAAGGCAGAGCTGCTTCATACAGATGGTCACTGTTTTCAACTGCTGCACGCGGATGATCAGTCCGAGGCGTTCGGCTGTCCCACCGCTCTATGTAACCGGGACGTCTTGTTCCGTTACGAAGAACTGAGCTTCGCAAGATTTCTCGTCCTTCTGCAGCCTTAAAAAAATCTTCTCGGTAGCTTGATTCTTGTGCCCAAAAAACGTCTTCAAAACCACAACGCATGGTTGTGCTCGTTTGGTCGTGACCTTCCCAAGCTGATCCCTTGCACTGACACAGCAGTTGGCCCCCGTGTCGAGCTTGCACATCACAGGCGTTCCCTCGATCTCGACGGTGTCTAACCAGCTGTCTTCTCTTGAGATGGTGTCTACAGTCAGAGTCTCCAACCAGTAGTCTTCATCTTCGTTAGCTTCCAGCTGACGAAGATCTTTTTTCGTGTGGTTTCCGCTTCTTTATGGGACTTGGGCGCTGCTGCAGATTGTCGCAAAATGGTTACGCTTTCCACACTTCTTGCAGATTTTATCCGACGCTGGGCAAGCGGTAGTGCAATGTATGTCGTATCTGAACTTTGAACATGGACGCGTCATCCGTTTCTCGACGAAGTTCACCTCCAACGGCTGCTGTGAAGCCCCTTGTATTTCTTGGCACTGCTCCTTTCCAAGCTCTAGTGTCCTGCAGATGTCAACAGTTTTCGCATAGGAAGGATTTTCAGAGATTAACCGCTCTTGCGTATTATCTCTGATTCCTAAGATGATTCTGCTATGAAGCATGCGTTCGTGGCTACCAAAATCACAACTTTTTGCCAGGATGCGGAGGTCAGTTAGCCACTCGTTGAAGCTCTCGCCTTCTCTTTGGTTTCTTGTACCGAAGCGAAACTCATGATAGGCTAGGTTAGTTGAAGGCTTGTAGAAACTTTCCAACTTCTTTCGAAGCACTTCAACGTCTTGCTTGTCTTCGCCTTCTTCGAACTGGAACGTGCTGTATGTTTTTCTCGTCTCCTCTCCAATGGTCAACAATAATGTTGCAGCCTGCACTTCCTTTGGTTGGAGATTGAGTAACGTAGCTGTGGAAAAAAGCTTGAACTCGCTTTCCCAGGTATTCTGGCTTTGCCAGACGTCCCCGCCAGTCTCCAGGGGTTGTGGCAGTGGCAGCAGAGCCGCCATAGCTTGCGGGATGCCGTGCTGGGTTGACGTGCTGGGCGTGCTGGAATGACGTGCTGGGCTTTCTGCATAGCGCCCGATATGGGTTGGTAGTCTGTTGTAGAAAGTCCCGTGGACAGAGTAGAAACTCCCGTGGACAGACAACGGCCACTTCTGACACCATGTGTTAAAAGCGACGAGACAGAGCAGTCATGTCGGCTTGCAAGAGAAAATAGAATCACACTTTATCGTCTTTCATGTACACTGGGTCTGGTATATAGCATGCGGCTAGATGCCACGAAAGCGGCACATGGTGACGACACCATCTACAGCTGTTGATTTTCTAGTTAACCAGAATTAATTAATCACCTCTTTAGCTGCGCTGTAATTAGGGTATGTTTACATTAAAAACTTTAAGGTAGATGAGTTCTAAAAGTGTTTTATTTTTTATAATTTGCGTAATTAGCCTGCGTTTCGAGGTATGTTTTCAAAATTGCCACTTAATCCGCATAATTACGCATTCGAAACCACGAAGATTGGTCCAAAAGCCCTTTCTAGTGTAGCACAAGCAGTTATGACATTCTCGCGACAACAGGGCGGAACTGGTAACGGTACTTCTTTGCCAGCCGGGAGCAAGAAAAGAACTGTTATCAGCTTAAGTTACAATTTATGAATATATTAAAATGTATCCTTCGTATTCGAACATGTTCACATGAGCAATTGTCTGTAAACTTACCAGGACTGTACTTATTAAAATATTATGATCATAAACACAAAATTTCAATAAAACATTCTGCTCATACATAAGCATACAATTTTATGAATGTCCAATATTTACATACTATGGTTGCTGAGACATTAGCACACAAATATGTGAGAAAAACTGCAGAGTGAAAAATTCTGAGAACAAGCAAAAAGTCCTATCACCAGCCTTTTTTTTTTTTTTTTTTTTCAATTGCTTTACTTTATATAGGCATTTGACATAATTAAACGCATGTTCATAATGTGAACGAAAAATAAAATAGCCCCTTTACAAAGTCCCTTTGTAGAGTCTGCACGTGGAAGCGGGTTGCGTGAGAAGTGAGACAAACTTTAAATTTTATCAAATAAGCATGTTAATATATGATTCTTTTCTAACGAGAGAAAAAAATCCATTATCCCTCGAACCAAAATTCCACCACGCCAAAAGGACTACCATAAACGTACAAGTTTCACAGGCTCAATATTTCACAAATTTTGGGCCGACTTTCTCCAGGAAAGTCATCCGTAATGAGAGCTGTCCATAAGAATAAATCGAGGTCAAGATCACAAATAATAAACGACGAGCGTGGCCACAAAAGATGCCACTTATTTTGGGACAGTCTTACCTCCTCCTAGATGGTGAGGGAAGTGTGCTAACTTGATTTTTGTGCACAAGAGGTACGCGTGACCTACAAATGCTCCCCAGGTATGCGGAAAAAAAGAAAAGTGACCCACAGGATTGCAAAGCCCTGTCGAAAATAGAACCATTGCTTGGTGCCCATGCCAGGTCCTATCTCATTTTCAGGAGGGGCAACTAACAACAGACGACCGCGATGCTTGGGCTGTACTCAGTGATCCAAGGGCTTTGTTATCTTTACTTTTTGCTCGTGTTTACGGACTGATAAAAGAAAGCACGTATTTACCCAGTTCGTTACCAGCGGGGCTGTCCATAGTCCGGACTGCAGGTGTCTATATTAATGATGTGGAGCTGTATGGGGACTGATCGGTTCCCGTAAAATTTGTCTACATAGCGGTGTGTCAATGTTAACGAGGTCCATGTCACTGTATATCCACCTAATCAATTTTTTACCATCTTTCAAACGTCGCAAAACAAGAAAAAAATAAGTTCCTCGTAAAAAATTAAGTGGTTTGCAGTAAAGAAAAAAAGAGTGTATCGTGCGCGTCGGCCTTGGAGAGGAGAGGCTGGGAGCACCACTTGCCCGTCCTTGCGCCTGGCCTTGTAGACGTGCCCGTAGGTGCCCCTGCCCACCTTGCAGCCTTCATACTCAAAGAGGTCCTCCACCTTGGCCCGAACCCCGGCCGTCTTCACCTTGAAGTCGTAGTCCATCCTGCCACACTCCCCCTCCCCGGACTACCGCCCCAGGGGACCCGCCCTTGCACACTCCGCCTTCGTCATCCTGAGGAAGAAAAGGAAAAGCGCGACACGAGCTGAAGGAATAGTCCTAAAAGATTAGTTAAATAACTTTGAAGAAACCCTTTTTTGGTAAGCAAAACACACATCTGCAGTCATGGGTGTACCAACCAGGGGGGCAAGGGGGGGTGCTTGCCCCCCCCCCCCCCCCCCGTTCTCAGAGTGGGGGGGGGTCAAGGCACGTGTTTTGCCCCCCTGAAACAGCCGCCACTGGGCAGGGCAAACACTGGCCGGTGGCGCCCAAGGGATACCAAGGGCACCGGCCTTGGAAGGGGGAGGGGGGGGGAGCTGGTTTGCCCCTCCCCCCCCCCCCCCCCCCCCCCCCCCCCCCTCAAAAACAAATTGGTATGCCACTGCCTGCAGTTATGAAAACACCGAACGGCCTGGGACTCTGTGCCTTCTCATGGGGCTATAGGTCTATGTCAGATATTAGATTCTGTGCAGTCCTTGCAAAGAAAAGGGTGCAAGCGTAACTTTGGAATATGCTTTGTTTGCCGGCACCAATAGTCCACATGCATGGAAAGCGCTTTCTAAGGTCAGATCCATCTCTAGCCCCTGGTAAAGGATTCTCCAGCGCTGCCTCGTGTTTGTAATTACTGCAAGCTAGCTGTAGGTTTAAAGAACCGTTCACACTCTTGCAACCGAGTACGACCGAGAGACCAGACCGGTTTTTAATCCTCTTACGACCTCTTAGGACCGGATGCGCTGGAGAGGAGCTGGTCCTAAGACGTCGCAAGAGGCTTAAGAACCAGTCTTGTCTCTCTCGGTCGTACTCGGTTGAAAGAGTGTGAACGGGCCTTAAGGTGCCAGCCCACAGCAGCTATGCTGGTGAAATGGAATATCTTTTAAAAATTCCTTGGAGACCCAGAATTTGTATTGTTTTGTTAGTGCTGTCTGCTGTGTTAGTTCACTCCCTTCCTTAATGCTCTTAAACAGAACATAGCAAAATAAACAAAACAAATGAATTATATGAATTATCATATATGAATAAATAAATTTGAATTATCATATATCATGTAATGGGAACTAATGCACGTATATTACAATGACGGTTTTACACGTCGGTACAACGGTTCGCCTGAGTATGTTTTTGCGGGGAGTTCGGCGCTTGCGAAGTCCTGGTTGAAACTGGGAGCGATTCGTTCAAAGATTCTCTAGTGCTGCCAAGCATTGGACAAGCGCTGTTAGGGATCTGGGATCGTTCGTGAAATTGAACAGCGAGGCTCTGTTCAACGTACTGACAGCTGTTATTTCCCTCAACAGGCTGCGCAGTCCATATTGAACCATGCTAGTTTTAAACTTTGCGTGAAAAACCCGACCTTCCCCAAGGACCGCGGATGGATTTGCCGATGCTACGTAGTGCATGCGCTCTTCTCTTTCTTTTTGAAACAGAGAATTATAACTTTGCAACGCGACTAATTGTAAACATGAGACCTCTTAATTCTCTCTCCAGTTGTATCACGAGCCGCAAAGCCTGCCCCACACGCATGTCTTTGTCGCGTAAACAAAAACAACGAACAAAACTAGCAGCTTTCTGTCTTTGCTCGCTTACCCTCACTTTTCTAACACGCGAACGGCACTGTGCAGAGTGTGGCTAGTAAAGCGGTAAAGAAAAAAAAAACCTTGACAAGCACGGCTATGGAGACCGCTGGCAGGGCGATCCGAAGAAGCCGACTGCAGTTTCTCCACCTTTAAAAGACTTTCGGTAGAACGACAATGCACTGCGTTACCTCTGCAGACGTTGAAGATCTTGCAAAACAGGTCGCAGCGCCAAATCCCGCTTTACTGCAATTAAATCAACTGTGCTTTCAACAACCCGGCTTCAACAAGCGCATGATACAATCCACGGAAAGCAGTTTGGAGTTGTAGCAGGTTGTAGGACTGGATAAAAAAAGCGTCGCGCGCGTCATGCTCTGAAAAGCGTTGCGATAGGTGACGCCACAAGATTGTTTATTTATTAGGTTTACACGTTCAAACTAAATCGAACTAATTTAACCTACAATAATAAATTATTTAGGATGAATTTACAGTCTTTTCAGATTTTTAGTAGCCATTCCAATGATGTTACTGTGGTTATAGATGACGCTAAATACCAAAGCACTTCTTTTGTTTTACTTTTTTGTTTCTTTTTGCGTTTTGCAGGAAGTGACGACACAGTTGACTTTTTTTTTTTCTCCAACTGCAGTCTCCTGCAACATTTATGCTCCCGCATTCAGCAGAGCGCCGGCATTTGCCCTGCATCGAGGTCTGCCTTGCGAAGTGCTCCGTCGTGCTGCCGCGACCAGTCGCCTGCTGCTTCGTCACGAGGTGCCGGAATGGATGCGCCGAATAATTACTCCGACTTTTTCGAAGGGACTGAGAAACTACTCGAGGTGTGGTTCAGCCGTCGGGACGGCAAAGAAGAGAACTGCGACCTGCGGAAAATTTCCAGGTGAGCGGGCAATGGAGTTTGGGCAGAAAACAAAAATTAAACGAGAAATGGTGCCCGCCGCACCGGCCGTGCCGCTCTTCACCTGTGCGCGCGAGCTTGCACGCTTTCTGCCGATGCAGCTCCTGTTTGTACGATACTGGCACAACTGACGCGCCCGAACGAGTCGGTGAATTATTTGTTTGCACCTGCTGCATTTGGTGGTTAGTAGGCCTATGTAAATGCCCAGCCCGGTCTCGCCCCATGCCGTGGGAAAAAGAATAGAATATGATGCGTTCTTGATGACCTCTTCTCACCTGTATCATTTGCTGTAGTCTAAGCGGTAAATATCGTTATGAAATTACGCAAAAAAAAGGGGGGGAGGGGGTGAATACCGCTTTTTCTTTATCTGTAAATTATCAACTTGTAATCGCGCGCGGTGGGTGCTGATGATTGGATCATATATCGACGCCTGAATTTGGGGCACACTTCCTCTCTGAATGAACAAAACAGGAAAACGCTGTAGCGACATATCAAACCTGTTCCATTTTAAAGCTAATGATAGCAGCCGGCCGACAAAATATGAAACGCGAGGATGACTACGTTTATTCAACTCTATCATGGCTCAAGAATTCGGCCGGTGGCGTTCGTGCGAAAGCTCCGCAAGGAGATCATTTCAATTTTTTCTATCGACTTGTCCGTTTTGTTTCGAAGTATTTCGGACCAGCGAAAGCGAACGACACGTGCGTCTTTTCTGCGAACTCCGGCCGTTGCGGTGCCGTGTTCGCCATTTAGCACTCCACCGTTATCCCCCAATTGTCCAGGCCGATAAGAGCGCTGATAAATGCTCGCTATTTTCCGAACACTTTCGCCTTTGCCAGAAATCACGCGCCGAATGAGTGTTCCCTGAGCAATCGAACTGCCGGCTTGCGTTCTCGCAACGCGGGCGCTGCTCGATCGTGCGGCAAAGCGCGACATTGCAGCCAATGAGATGCTAGTTCGATTATGACGTCACCACGAAACGGACCTATCGCGGTTCTCCCCGCGATTTTTACATACTTTGCCTGTCTGTTCGGCGAGGAAACAAAAAAGAAGAGCCCGACATCGAGTTTTGTTCAATTTGCTGTCTGGGTTTAACGCAAAGCGTTGCAGAGTCATCATCTGGACCCAGTTTTTTGGTTGTCTGACGGACGTTTCCTTAATGTTTATTTCGTCTCCTGTCTCGGTGCTCCTTCGGGAGGGCCCATGATAATCGTGACTGAGTGCGCCATCGCGGCAACGCCAACTTGCGAGGTTCTTATTCTTTTTTTTCTACTTTTTTTTTTTTTTTTTAAAAAAAGGGGGGGGGGGGGGGTCGTGCTTGTCCCGAAGTTTGTAGTCTTTTTATTATATGGTACCCACGACGTTCTAGTCTACGAAAAATTACCTGATGCAGAAAAACCTGCACCGTCATAATAGGAAAGAACCCCCAGACTAACGCAAAAGTACGGCCCAAATGCGAAGTCAAACTTTGCGTTTGTGCGCACCACCGGGTTTCCCATGTGCTGCGATTCTTTCTAGAATTCACTGGTTTTCGTTGATGTGAATTTAAACAATGTGTTTAGTTTTACTAACTAAAATTGTTCAAACAATTTTAGTTTGTGCCTATTAGCCCCCATATAATGACCCCTAGTCGTATAACAAGTGATTATACTGCATTACTGTAGCCTTAAATGTAAAAAAAAAAAAAACGACATGGAAGGTCTAATATAGGCACCCTATACACATAATATAAATGTAATAACTTATATTTAACATCCTCATTTTTCCAAGTTTTTATATTCTTATTGTTATTATTCATATTATTAGACTATCCCCTTTCAAGCTGTGAGTTGCCCTAGTGGTGCTATACTTTGTTTCACTTTCAGTCAATGCTCAGCCGATGCTATGCGAGCAGATAAGACCAATAATTAAAGCAACGTCATGGCTTTCGTCATCTTTGTGTGCCTGTGATGTATTCCATCGGAATCGAGTTGCCCTAGTGGTGCTATACTTTGTTTCACTTTCAGTCAATGCTCAGCCGATGCTATGCGAGCAGATAAGACCAATAATTAAAGCAACGTCATGGCTTTCGTCATCTTTGTGTGCCTGTGATGTATTCCATCGGAATCGAGTTGCCCTAGTGGTGCTATACTTTGTTTCACTTTCAGTCAATGCTCAGCCGATGCTATGCGAGCAGATAAGACCAATAATTAAAGCAACGTCATGGCTTTCGTCATCTTTGTGTGCCTGTGATGTATTCCATCGGAATCGAGTTGCCCTAGTGGTGCTATACTTTGTTTCACTTTCAGTCAATGCTTAGCCGATGCTATGCGAGCAGATAAGACCAATAATTAAAGCAACGTCATGGCTTTCGTCATTTTTGTGTGCCTGCGATGTATTCCTTCGGAATCGAGCGCAGTGCCATCGTGCGCTTCTTTGAATGCGCCGGCCGGCTCTGACTTACCTCCGAGTTGATGGAGCAAAGTTTCGGTTCCAGGCGTGCTGAGAGACTGCCAAAGTGTGCATGCTCGTCACCTCAAATGTTTTGATGGCTCCCCGCGTAAGCCGAGCGCACTCGCCCAGGTACGGGCGCACGAAAGGAAGGATGCCTTCCGCGCGTCGGGGCTTTCTATATTTATAACTCGACGCCCCTAGCGATTCAAGGGCAACCTTGTGGACACGGCGGAACGGCGCATGAAAGATCAAGGTTTCCGTTGTTTGAAAGGTCGCGCTGCCTGGCCTAAGGTTTAGCCCCATCCATCCTGCTGGGCGCCAGGCTTCACAGCGTTGGATTGGTTGGATGGTTCGTCGGCAGCTGCTTGTATAGAATTTAGTCGGCTCCAATGGGCGTCTAGCGTATCGGCTGTAGTTTCAGAAATTTGGCCAGTGCAGTACCAACAGCTAGCCTGGGGTCTAACGTCTGCCAAGCAGTATAGGGATGGCACCGCGGTACACGACCGCAGGCCGGTACGACGCTCATCCAGATCGACCAGCATCGGTGGCGCCGGGCGGTCGTGGTGCACGTCAACTAAACCGAAACTTGCGTGGAAAAGAAGCAAAGCAGCTTCTAAATCCAACAATTTACTCATCTCCGATTAAATTCTGATTGCTGCCGTTGCTGCGCCCCCTCACAAAGGTCACGTGATGCTGTCTCCGAACCTCCTTGCCGATAGCTCGTAGCGTGGGGCCCTGCGGACCATCGTGAAGACATGGGCTTTATCGTGAAGCGAGACGAAGCATATGTACCAACAAGCACAACAAGCATTTGTAGTGTTCGTCCGTTTTTTTTATCCTTCCCCATCTCAAGGTTTACAAGATGTCATATGTACCAGACGATGTCGAGCAGGCGTGACAGCGCCGTCTGCTATCGGGCGCCAAGTTTTGTTTTCGGCGACGCAATTGTTTTCACTTTATGGGGCGCTTTCGGGAGCAAGGTCGTTGTTTGTTCGTGTTTTGCGCAAAAACAACCTGGCAGACACCACCGCTGTTGTCGTGGAACCACTGACTCACCCGATCCCGCTCGGTCTCGTCAGTGACGATCTTTATCGGTTGCGCTCAAGGTTCGTGCGATTCACGCGGTCCTGTGAAACTATAGCGCCATTGGCTTCTCTGCCTGCTAGCCGAACACAAACAAATACTAAGATACAGACGACCGAAAGAGGCGATTGGCTAATCGGTCTCTGTTGCTACGGCAATCGCCATTTCGGCCCCTTCAAATCTTCGAAAGGGTCTTTTTAATCCATGCAGTCGCACCAAGATCACCATGGAGCATCATCGTATATCCTGAAGGACTGTGTTATGCAATCAACTTATTAATCATGCCTATCTTAACGAATTTCTCACAATTGTTCCTCTTGCGTATATCAAGAAAGAGGAAAATTATTTTCAATGTCGTTCAAGTACCGACACCGCACGGGTACGAAGATGCGCATGTTTCGCCGGCGTGTGGATCTTGGTCTACAAGGGCTCCTATACAAGTACCCGTCACCAGCGAATTCAGATCGGCTGGCCAAAAATGGAGATGTCAAGGAGAAATTGCTCATTTCATGAGCAAAAATGGCGATCATGCGGGGAGCTTGGCGCTACTTTCCCACGATCCAGTTACTTCAGCGACAACGGTTTTCATCATCGAATGTGTGGAATGGGGAGCGAGCAAGTTCGAAGATTCGGCAACACGAAAGCAACCAATTGGTTAATTTCCAGCGAATTCTCTAAAATGAGCTACATTTGGATAATCGGAACTTTATCCCCCAATTTTCTTGTGTGCGCCACCATTTTGGTGTTATCTTGGCGCGGAAGTTTCCTCCGAGTTCAGGTAAAGCTAGCAAAGATGGTTTTAAGCACCAGACGGCTGAAGTCGGCTCAAGTGCTGTTACTGTGAGGCGTAGCGTTTTATCGACTCTTCGGCGAACGACCCACCTGTTCTTAAGCGTGGAATTTGTCCACGTGGCAAGAAAGAGGACTGACGAAGCCGTATTTCAGATAATAGCGTGTGGGAGTTGGATACGAGCAAGGGGGAGGAATCGCTCAACTTCGCTATCGTACGCAGATTGCACGTGGGCTGAGCCGCCCCCTGCCCCGTGTCGATAGCATTACTTTTTTTTAATCTAAGCCCCCCCCCCCCCCCCCCCCTTTTTTTCCCCTTGTTCCGACGCCGCTGCTCCCTGGCCGTGTCACTCACTTGCACGAACCGCATTAGTGTAGCTTTCACGGGTCTTTTCAAGCACATTCGTAAAACCTAGAAGAAAAAAAAAAAGAAAAAAAAAGTGTATATTGCGCACACTGCTATTGGAGCAAGAATATCCACACTCGTCAATACCACCGACTTTGAACGGAGATTAACTTCAATGTCAGCAACACAAGATTCTTTTTTTTTTTCTTTTTTCGTGCTTTAAATATTTTTAAGTATAAAGCAGCTCGCCCGTGCTGCCTAGTCTCACACGAGCGAATCCGGCACTTGTTTTTTGAGCCGGGCGCACTTTTGCCTTCATCGTTGGCAATTA